ATTTCATATATGTACATGGTGTGGGTGTGATTTTTTGTTCTTTTTTTTTCCACTGAAAATTATCTGAGTTTCTGCCCTTATTTAGTTTGAAAACTCACCCTAATAATAAAGACATAACTATAGATGTAATCAAAGCAAATTGTGTACAGTATTCATATTTTATTCTGCATAAAGGGTTAATCTTGTAATCTGTTGGCAGGAGTCAGCAGGTATTACTTCACCCACAGTGAGGGATTCCCCAAATCAATGTCCTATATAAGGGAGCACCCTAATATGGTCGCTACACCACTTTACAGTCACCATTTAAACCCTAATATAGAAGCAGCAGGAAGCCCTGTGTGTGACTCAGACGGACACACACCTGAGCAGCTGTGTTTACAACATGATCATGACAAAGCACTGACGTTTTAAAGACAGGAACAGCTGGTTCGTTTCTGGCCTTTTTAAAACCCTTTAAATCTAAAGCCATCAAAACTACTGCCTCTTATTTCAGTAATTATTGAATAAAATAACAGCCTGTTTTTCCTCAGTTTGGTAGATGCCTCTTTCTCTCACCCCTAACACACATCTCTTGCTGTTTGTGCAGTTATACAGAGTAGGATGGTGGTGGATCTTGTTCCTGTTTGCCGACCACAAAAACAGAGAAGAGACAAAGACATTCGAGGCGGTCAAAGTAAAACTGATGTGCAAAGATTTATTTTTGGGTCCAAAATCAGTGAAAGAGCTTGTGCATCTTTGGTACTGATAACATAATGAACTTTTTTTTCCAACAGTTCTTTAAGTTGCTTTCTTTCAGTTCTGCAAGTTACAATGGACATGAAGTGAAGAATGCTGTGTTTTAGAATAAAAGCTGAATTTAAGTTACAGCCACAAGCACCACAAACTATTGATTTTACATTTCTGGTTGTAATGAGTACTGTATTTTTGAATAAAAGCTTATTGTAGGATACAATCAAAAATAAATTTCTAACAAAAGACAAAACAATCAAAAAGAAAGAATCAGAACTGCCAAAATAATAGCACCACAGACAATTACTGGCAGGAATGTGTTCTGTATTTCAAAATAAAAGCTTGTTTACACTAAAAACCAAAGCAATCTTAACAAAAAAACAGAAAAAAATATCAAAATAAAAGCATCAGGAAAAATGTTTAACATTACTGGCAATAATGTTGATGATTTTTTTTTTAATAAATGTGAATTTTACGAAATTACTGATTCTTTTTTTTTTTTTTTTTTACAAACAACAATAAAAAAGTTCAAAATAAAAGCACCACAGATGCTTGTATTCTGAGGTAATCCCTTCTCTAAAGAAGTTTCTGTCACAGGACTGGTGATACAAATGAAAGCATAGCCTTGAACATTGTTATAAAAGGACAATGACATGTCATATGACTGTTTGCTTTTTTCCTGTTTTCCAGAAATTTTGTGATAGTACTGTATATTTTTTGGCCAAAAATAACCCTTGGGGGGGGGGGGGGGGGATGTGGCGTCATGACAGGTCAAAATTTTTTAAATATCTTCCATGTTGTCAACAAGTGCTGTTAAAAGTTGGGTTTTGGTGTGACTGTCATCGGGAGGATGTGAATCACAAAAGGCAGATTTGCTGTAACTTCTTTTCATAGACTGATCAGGTTGCCCCAGAGTCCCCTTTGCTCCAGAATTCATTCCTGTTGTCAAGGGGTTTTTGACCAATCAGGATTTGGTATTAAACACAGCTGGGGTGATTCGAAAGAAAGCCAGGTAATAAATAGAAAGTGGCCTGCAAACTTGCTTACATAATCACTCAGCAGTCTGCCAGAATGAGTAAGGTTGCACATTCTAAACCCTTGAGTTGTACCGAACTCATGGTGTGTTTTAAACGTTTAGTGGTTTTCTATTTTACTCTGCTCAAAAAAATAACATCTACTGATAAGTACAGTATGTCCTCATCATCACAAACATGCTCTGGCTGTAACATTTTTAGCTGTCCTCATGTTTGTGCTCAGAGGCTAAGTCAAAGACGGAGTGTTTGCTCTCAAAGTTCAGACTAACATTCTTATTTGGCTATTTACAAATAGACCTGCATGGGAGACACCAACATGCTGGCCTCTGGCTAGACCGCCAAAACAAACAAGCGTGAAAATAAACTTCTTTCACAAATAGACACCCACAGCTCACTGACCAAAAGTTTATGTTGTTAAGAAGAACTCATTTATACAGCTGCAGATTTGAAACTTGCTCCTTGTGTTTGATATCATGAGGCAGACACAGGAAGTATGCATGGACAAGTTTCTGATACATTGGATCTCTCTCTGCAATCAGTTTGTTGCCAAAAGTCAGAACTTTTAGAAACAAACATAACAGCTAAAATCCTGTATCCTAATAAAAGGTCTCCCGGTGAAAGATCTTCTGTGAGAGCAGGCCGGGCAACATTAAGGTCACATAATTGCCATTTATAAATCATATATTACTACTGTGCATTAGTGTCATCAGAGCAGGGGTTGGGCAGAATCATGCAGAGGATATTGGCCAGACTGGCTCGCCAGTTTGCAAATTGTAAACCAGATCAAAGATGATTTAGCTCAGCCTGGTATAAGGCTGGCCCATTATATTGCTCTATTTGAAATGACCTTTTACATGGAGGAAACCAATTTTTGTCATCATGATTTTTGGCATGCAATACCACTGACACTTACCTAAAATTTTGAGTGTTGTTTTTTGAGGCCATATAACTTTTACAGTAGCATGATGATGCTCTTAACTTCTTACACTTAATCTTATTCATGCTTTTGTGCACTATGCATGAGTGCAATATGCATTCTTTAATGTTTCCTTGAAATTAGTGGTGACAATGTACTTGAAGGGATATACATAACACCAACATTATGCTGTCATAACATGACATGACACCTGCCATTAATATGAATAAGGCTAACAAGGATTGTCATTAAGTGTCATTAGGTAGATTGTGACACCTTTGGTGCTATGTTGAAGACAATGCCTTCCCAAACAATGTCAATATAATATACAATAAAAGTTTGGATTTATTTTATTCTAATTTATATAGCTGAACGAGGTGGCCACAAGAAATGTTCAGGCTAGAAAATGGAGGTTACTTTTTATCTTCCTTAATGCTCATCTGTGGTGGAAATAGTGTTACTGTCTTATCTCAGCTTTGAGGATATCAGGCTGTTTCAGAGCATTCAAGATAGCAGCTAAAACTCTCGTGCTTTCTCTTCCTCTCATACAGTCAGACAGTAACGTGATTAGGCTACATGAGAAACTGTGGCACATGATCTAGCCTTGTCAAATTGCATTTGTAATTATGAAATTAACTAGCGTATGGATTTTATTCTGCCGACTAAATTGGAAAACTTCATTTTCTGCCTTCATGGGAGGCTCAAGCCTCAGCGCACCTCCTATCTGTATACCCCTTGCACGCACAGACACAGATTCACACACAGTAATACAGTAAGTGAACATAAATGCACAAACAATGTGAAGGTATGTGTGAGTCAAATATGCAAAAAAAAGGTAGTGAGATAAAACATCTACCTTTCAGGAGACATTTAACATATCACAAGCATTTGGGCAATTTCCCAGCTTCCTGCAGACACTCTAATCTAAGCAAGTGCCTTTACTTTTACTTTAGAACGTCTCAGACCTGTTGACCTTAACTGTCATAAATATTGAGGGAGTTCCTGCAAATAATGCACATACGTTGACTTTTTTCTTGAACATTGTTGTTTTCATGTTACCTGACTTCACTGCAGGAATGCAGCACTGTGTCTGCAGACAGTATCAATGCTGAGGTGAAGAGAAGCCTAACACTTAGTCATAAACAACTTGGCTTCCATACTGCCCCTGGAAGAAAAAAGTTCAATGAAAATCCATCGAGTAGCCAAGAAAGTTGGTCTTTCCTGTGGTAAATGATCTATCCTAGATCACTAAAAAAAGACCTGGAATCCCATAGGAGCATCTACACTGAGGGTGTTTACCTGAGACAAAAGAGGGATTCAAAATAAGATAGCCTTTGTGGGTTTGAAGTAATAATGGAGTTGTAATTTCCGTTGATCAAATCCTTTACAGGACTTTGATAGTGGGGACCCTTCAGCTGCAGCAGGAGGGGACCAGAAGGGATTAGTGGTTAACAGAGTTAATTTTTGAATTGACTGTGTTACTTTGAACACTACCTTATCAATGAATAGTTCCGCTTATGCCTTCTTAGATAAAAAAATGACAGAAGGCTATGGGAGAGTTGCATTAACTTATCAAACAATAATATTACCCTCTGTTTTTTTTTTTCCTCGATCAGATAATTGTCCCAGAAATACAAGATGTTTTCTGTTAACCTAAATCAACAAAACAAAGTAGGGGAGAGTGGGGTAAGTTGAGCCAAAGAGTAAGTTGAGCCACCCTCTGTTGTTGAAAATTGGTAAAAGAAATTGATCATGTGACCAAATATTTAGGAGATGGGCATCAATTCGTGGAGTCTGTGAAGGTTAGAAGCACATTGGTAAAGGGGTTAGACATTTATTAAAAAAATAAATAAAGAAAAAAAAAAACTTTGTCATTCTTGAAAGTGAATTTACTCTGTCATAAGTTTTATTAGAATTGTGTTCAGACCAAAAAAAGATTATTTTAAATTTGTTTTATCCACCAATTGTGGTATCTATGAGCTACAACATGAGGTCAAAAACCAAGCATAAAAATCCACCATTTTAGCTTAGAGGACTTGTTAAGTCATTATAGTAATTCTGGGGTAAACTGACCCATCTGGCCTGGGGTAAATTGAGCCAGTTGCTCAACCGAGAAAGTTCTGAATCACTTGAGGCATTCTCGTGTTATGACAATAATCACAATTTCTTGATGCACTCGTGCAAAATCTGAGATGTCTTAGGTGCAGCAGCAGCAAACTGTATTATATGTGTGCCCTTCAGAATAAAAGCCCTATCACGTGAAAGAGTAGTGATGGGGCGGGTCTACGGGACACATCAGCCAATCAGGTCCTATGTTTTGTGGCTTCTCATTCGACGATAAACATTGCGACCTGACCCCCCTGGCTCTCAGAGACTTAAGGCACGTCAACGTGAAAGGGGGCAGAGCTGTTTCCACTGTGGATGATAATACCACCAGAGACTGGAATTACTTATCACTATCACAGACAAACACGCTCGATATGTTGAAGAGTTATCCTGCCTGTAAATGAGACGCAATCCTGCCGCTCTGACGTCGAAGTAAATCAACGAAAAGCCGTTAGCTTCTGTAGCTAACGTCAGCTAGCTGTGTTAGCCACATACCCTCGTTTTTTCCACGCAGCTGACCTCCACCACAACACAGTCTCTCTGGGTGGCGTTACAAGCTAAGCTGGGGTCGTTTCCCCCTCTCTCTTCTCACCCCCTGTATCCCCGTGTTGGTGCCCCGTGGACGGTCCTCGAATATGATCCATAATGAGTCAAAGAGATACCTTAGTTCATCTGTTTGCTGGAGGGTGAGTATTTTCTTGCAGCAACGCTAGCTAGCTTCGCTTAGGGCTAACTGCTGTCACTGGTTGGTGATGTAAAGCTTCACTAACAGGATTGTTTGCTTTAGTGTGCTCATAATATGAGTATTTGGCCCGTGGGACGATTGCTAACATCAGGATCTGTTTTAGCATCCGTGTGCCAGATGTCAGTTTACTAATTTTGGCCACAGGCGTGCACCCGTAGGAGTTGCGCTCAATGTCACACGTTACAATGACATTTCATCTGGCTATAAATCTGATCTGAATAACATGTTTGGTTTTTAAAAGAGTCAGTATGTCGTGTTTGTAAGATTTCGGATCAGTGTTTATATTTCCAGTTGCTGTTTAAGTAAAACGTGGGTCTGCGTATGGTGTCCCCCGTTTACCAGCCATATCTGAAGCGTATCAGATATAACTTGGGCACTCTGCCACTCAAAACAGAGCTTTAACACGACAGGCATATATATATATATATAAATATAAATATATATATACATATGTATATATATATATATATATATATATATATGTATATATATATATATATGTATATGTATGTCTGATGCTTCAGCCAAAGCTGTGTCCCAAAGGAGTGCAGTGCAGCCCTCATAGGTCTGCCAAAAAACTGGGTGCTAAATGGATGAGTTTGGCTCAAGTCAGATTATATTGGCACTTTGGCAGCCACTGTGGTTTAGACTGTTCACAGGCTCAGGAAAATAACTAAATATAATATTTTGGTTTGTATGGAGTAATGTCTAGATAAATCGAGAGAACAGAACGTGAATGGATGGAGGGTTTAAGGGCACAGTGTGTAAGAATAGCAGAACATTTTTGGTAGAACTGTAATTTGATATTCAGAAGTTGGTATAAATCAGTGTACAACCCCATGTCTGAAAGGGAAGGTGTAAAAAGTTGATTTTAAAAAATGATGTTGTGCAAGTCATTTAAAATCTATAAAAATTCAAAGTTGTGTAAAAGCTTAAGGAATATAAATTTAGCATTCTTATGGAAATCATGGATCCTGAGTCACGAGACCACTGGACTTGCTATCGGCATACAGTTAAAATGCGAGCATCCCAGGTGGCATGGGTAGCTTAAACATCCGGAAAAGGACTTTGAATCCTAATCAATAAATACAAGTTTTGGAAAAACACATGGTGCAAATGGAAAATGGGCTTTGAGTAATTTACAAACCACCTAACTTTCATTTCATTAACATTTTACACAGTTGGTGTTGGGGTTGTGATCATTCCACTGTTTTATCTGTTGAATCTGGACCCCTGCCCAAACTAAAACTTGACTGGAGTGCTAGAATTTGTTGGATGAAGAGTTGAAGTTAAATGAAATTAGCCATAGACAGGCTCTTTTGATTACATAATATATCTATAGTCAGCCTGTGTTGTACCTTTACATTTCATCCCTGCCAAAAACTGTGTTGACAGAGCCGTCTATTTCTGCTTTGATGCTGATTGAAAATTAACTCTAACTTCAGATAAATGTGGTCGCTCTTACTTTGTTTTCACTTCCTCAGGTCTGGCCCTGTCCTGCTAATACGGTTCAGACAGGTTCAATTTTAATACGGTCCATGTAGATGTTGTTTCTACGCTCTGTCTTATCAGTGTTGCTTTTGTTACCCATGCAGGTTACTGTCCTGAAAAGCCTGAGATAGTCATTGACTGATGTCCTGGATGTAGGGTATTGTTTGGACAAGGTGTTCATTAGTGTCTTTTTGGAGTTCTTGGCTCAAAGTTTCAAAATAAGAAAAAATCTGTGATTTGTTTTGGGATTCACAGTTATCAAATTCTGTGTTGTTTTATAACAAAATAAATAAAACATTATTTTTCATTCTTATAAAAAGATGTACATATGCCCGCAAGGCTGAAACTCCACGGGGTGCTGAACAGAAGCTTGCCGTTATTCTCCAAGAAACACAAAGCATTCCTGACTGTTTTTCTGTTCCCACACTGAGCTATTTCTTGTCTACATGCCGGGAATTGTTAGAATTCCCTCAACACATCACTGGCTAATTTATTTATGTAAGAAAATGAACAATTTGTGCACACAAATATTTCGACTTTTGCCAACACAGACGAAAAGGAGTCTTGGATTTCTGCTTCATCACGGACACCTTTTCATGTCTGTCTTTCTGCTAGATGTGGGGGCACAGTAGGAGCCATACTGACCTGTCCGCTGGAAGTGGTGAAGACACGTCTGCAGTCATCCTCTATCACCCTCTATGTGTCTGAGGTTCAACTCAGTACTGTCAATGGGGCCAGTGTGGCCCGCGTGTCCCCACCAGGCCCCCTGCATTGCCTCAAGTGAGTACTCAAAATAAACCATAACACAGGGAACATTGTCAAGATTATATATCCTCTCTGTTTAATATGCTATAACACTTCCACGCAACGCTTCTTGGATGTTTTGGTGTCACAGTTGCCCGCTCAGTGCAGCTTTACTCGACCACATCCTCCCTTTTTGTAGAATAACATTACTGTATTTCATTACTGAGGTCAAGAGTGCTCCGATTGGCCTGGTTACAATGAGAGTTCCCTCTTCTCAAGTGTAATAAGCCTGTCACACGAACTTGTGAGATCAAGTGAAGTGTTTGATTTTTGGAGTTTTGTGATGATATCATTGGTGATATCTTTACTATTTTTTATTTTTGATACAAATATGTTTTAAATGCTAATAAGGGTCTCATCCAGTTTCAGGACCATTAACAACACCTAAACAAGCATACTTGAAAACACTTGTTATATGAATATCTACACACACCCAAACTTTCATTGACTCAGTTATAACAATAAGCTATTAGCTTAATAAATGTGCCGTATGAAACATAGTGAAAGTACAACTGTAGTATGAAGGAGACCATCAGAATAACAGCTGAAAGCATCACATCTTTTCAGGTCAGGTCCTTTACATTTTGCGTGTTCATAACTGGGAGTGGGGGTCTCCTGATTCTTGACCCAGTGTAGGTCTAAGTATGAATGGTTTTCATTCTGTTCAAGTTATATAAAGTTATATAAAAAGGGAAGTTGTATAAAGTTATATAAAAAGGAATTAGCCTATCATCTTGTCTTTCCACGAAATAATAGAGAAGTGTCGATTGTGGAACTGAGAAGAACTTTTGACTGTTAGGAGACTTGAAAACCCCTAATTTCAACAAAGCACACTGGTTATTTTTGCCAAGCTTGAGATATGATGACAAATCCAAGCTTTATTACATCTTTTATACATGAAATCTTAGGAGATATTTGATTCCTCAGGATCATGAGTTTTAGGACCTGTTTTGCCAAGATCTGCCGTCTGGATTTTGGTAGATCTCCAGTTTTGATGTTGAGGGAAAAAGGATCTCCACATGGAGAACAATAGCCTGGTCTCTTCTAAAGAGGTCATGTCTGCTCTGAGCCTCTGGGAAAGTGTTTTTATGGCACCAAGCCACTTGTCAGCCTCACTGAACCAAGTCAGAATTAAACAAAGTGCCGATCACTGCGGTCAAAATTCTGTCTGTTAGACTCCCATCATAATCCTATATTTAACATGGGCAGCTCTCTGGCAATTAAAGGTGTCTTCATGTCATTACATCATCACCAGGTGTTATATATTGTAAGCAAAGGTAAGAGTTTTTTTTTTTTTCCTCAAACTTTACCACAGGTGTGGACATACCCCCCCTCAATGACACCAGTTTGCAAATCTATCCTTGTGGCCTAGAGTTTGGCAATGTTTCCATCACTGTCTTGGTTTTGTTGGAATCACACGTGACTGTAATTGATTAACAGCTTGGATGCACATTATGACATCTCTGTCCTGGTTTACCGTCTGTCCAGGTCCTGACTTTTTTATCACAGACAATTCTGCTCCAGTGCATATCCTCCTTTACCCTCTACAGTACCTTTTAGATGCGTCCATAGTTTATGTTCCTTGTATCTATCACTGGAACCCTCTGGAAGATGAAATTAAGCACCCTGAACTTAGACATATGACCCTAAAGCATGCACGTGGTGGTGTTTTTCTGGGGAAATAATTCACTGTCTGCGTTTGAATTTCACAAACAGGTTGATCTTGGAGAAAGAAGGACCTCGGTCACTCTTCAGGGGCTTGGGGCCAAACTTGGTGGGCGTGGCACCTTCCAGGTAATCTTCATCATATCCTCAGAAATCTGTGCCTCCTACAATTATAAATTTGAAGCTCATGAAAAGCAAGACGTTTATTTATCGGATGAAATTCATCACTGAGCCCTGGAATATTGTTGTTATTACTGCTGTCGTCATAATACCCAGTAATAACTCAACAGTGACCAGATTATGAGTTGTTAAAACACGATTGGTTTTCCTCCTCATCGACTCCTTCAAACAGATTTGACAGATGAAACCCTGAGATGGGTCACTCATTCACCTTCAGTATGTTAGGATCAGCTTTATGCTGTCAGTCCCCACCTTTCATTAACCATAGCAATGCTTTGCCAGCTTTAGCTGCACACAGGTCACAGCTGTGCTTCCAGCTGAATGCCAACATTATGTCCACATGCCAACAATTACAAAGTCAGCCTGCCTGTCAACTATTAAATACCAGCATGCAGACATTCGGCATGTAACACAGTTCTATGGTATGCAATTACAACAGGCTCTTTTGTGAAACCTCTTACCCAATTCCCTACACAGTAGCTGACGGCTAATGTGAATGCTACGTTTTCACATCACAGTTCAGCAGGTAAACTATGAACCGCACATTGTAATCCATAACTAGTCATTTCCTGGGTTGTTGCAGGGAGTGCTCTCTGTTAAATATTGGTCAGTTTGGGACACTCATTTCTTGATTTCTTATTTAGTTGATTTTGGAGAGTAAAATGTTAAGCAACATTGTAAGAACAATGATCAGGCTGCCTTTATTGCAGTGACTTTTAGACTCCTGGAAGTGGAGAGTCACCTGTGTCAAGGATTTCCCCTTTTCCCTTTATGTAGAAAAACAAATTCTATTTCTTTCTTAAATGAACAGATCAACCAGAAAAGTTGTAAACTAAAACCATTTATCTAAATCATAGAGAGGTAAAACAAAAGCAGCTTTGGCTTATGAAGATATAGAAACAGGCTTGAATCTGTAGATACTCCAATAAATGAGCAACAATTTTTAAAGGGATGTAGGTGCACAGAAAGTCCCTCTGCTTTCTCCTTGTTTGGGGAAGTGAAGGGTGCTTCTGTCTGTACTACATGAACTCTCCACAGGAACAGAAGCTGGGTGGCTGCTCTATCCATTTATCAGCTTTGTTGATGACTGCTGACATGATGAGCAGCAGGTCCTGGCACTATACAGACAATTCTGTAAAATTCTGCAAAATGATTCACTTAGACAAGATAAATGTTGCAGGTAGAAACTGAGAAGCAGAACCTAACTTCACATGTCTTATCGAATCCCCAAATCTCAAGGAGGAATGAGAAATGATGTTTCAGTGAAGCTTAATAAATGTCTGTAGGTATGTGGAGCTTCACCTCGTCATAAGCCCAATTTTTCACATGCTAACATATAATATTCAACAAAGGCTTGCTGGAACCTGTTAGTGTGTTAGTCTGCATAAACTCATTATGCAGTTTGATAAGAGTTTGTTCTGACTTGCTGATTAGATCACATTTAGTGTGCACACAAGTTTGCTCAGCGTCTTTTCCAGGTGAGTTATTGACACATTTTTTAAGGCAATGTGAAACCCTGCTTTTATGTAATCACCTCATGGCTCTTGAGGTTACTGGGAGATGAAGAGATGTTAAGGAAATATTGGCGGGGAGCTCCCATTCATCTTCTCGGCTGTTTCAGCAGTTCTAGAGGGAAACCAGCCTGATTAGCCTTTTTCTGACTGCTCTTAGGTAATGACGCATGACGGTCATGATCATCATTACCCCTCGGTGGTAATGATGGAAGGCTGTTGGCACCATTAGCCCTAATTAAACAGCAAGCAGTTTTCAATGCTGAGCATGTGTAGAGTGTTTTGTTAGCAGCTTACTTGAATAAACGCATGAACACACCGTCCTGATCTGTGACGCAGATTTTAGGTGAATGCACAGACAAACACTGACCCGTCATTAGGCTGATGCGCTTAAGCAACACGAACAGCCTGATGGGGCACATTTGGGTAATGGGGGTAAAAGTGAAGTAGTGCACACGGTGCTTTTAGAAGAAGTGTGTGTTTAGACACAAGAGTGCAGGAAAGAGAGACCCCTGCATTTACCCCACACTTATGTAAGCCTTATCATATTCTGTGATTGACGGAGAAAAGACGTCAGTTCTCATTGTGTTTCTATGATCATTTGCATCTGTAAAGCCAGCGCAGTGTGGGGCATATTTTTACAGACTTCATCCTGATCAACAGCTGAGAGTTGCTGTGTTATTGTTCACTCACAGGTTTCACTCATTCACATTGCACTTTAAATCTGTGCAGTTGTTGCTATTAAATGTTAACATTGTATAAATGCCGGTCTCCTGAAAATGCCCAGATTTATACTAATATCTCTGACGTTTCTGCCTTTGCTTTCCACAGAGCAATCTACTTTGCTGCTTACTCCACGGCCAAAGAGAAACTGAACGGTGTGTTGGAACCTGATTCCACACAGGTTCACATGATGTCGGCTGGAATGGCAGGTAATTATACACATAGATGTTCGTTTACAAGCTGACTTAAACCGCCTTAACTAAGAACCCAGGGAGAATCGTCAATATCTCCGTCAATGAATTGACCTTTTCTGCTTCAGTGCTTGTATGCATAAGCGAAAGGTTGTATTACATACAGGATCAGGCTTGTGTAACGTCTGTACCCAGTGGCTGCTTGTGTTATGACATCGCCCCCTTTGTTGAGAGCAAGTATTGACTCAACCAGTTTTTCTTGTGTTAGATTCTTGTTTATGTAATAGAAAAAAACAACCTGTGCCAAAAGACTTGCATCAGCTCCTTGGGGAAGTCTCTGAGTGTATAATAGTATAATAAAAAGTGAATCTAGTGTCTTTGATCTTTGTCTAAGATTTACAGTCCTGCAGAATAACAACATATTAATTAATGATACTGAAAAGCTAGATTTAAGTACCGTCACTGATATTCTCTGATGCTTTCTGTGTCAGAGGTAGGTCACCTGCTCTCTTGTCACGGCTCCACGTGGGAATGCTAATCTGTTCCAATGTGGGTCATTCAGGCAGGTGCAGCTACAACCTGCCTGTCTATGGGTATGGGTGGAACAGACAGGGCCACTTTTAGCAGACTATGACTCAGGCCTTTCAACGTCACATCCAAGGTCAACCTTTGTCGGGACATTTATCACTAGTGGCAACCCCCGTTATCTGCAGCTTGAGCCCTGGCTGAGCTAAACTGACAGCTGATGAGGTGTTGACAGTGTACCGGTTAATCTGGCCTGTGAATGATACATGACACCTGAAGTGGAGGTTAGAGAGGGTCACTGCCATGGCTAACAATAGATGCAATTACTTTCCATTACTGCAGATACCCAGGTCAAAAAATCGAGATCAGGTTGAGCCACAATTTGAATGCCATGTCAGAGCTTCAAAACATTCTATTATTTATGTTGTAATTACTGTCTGCAGCCCAGAAAGCAGTCAGAACCATGTTTTTATGTCAAGGGATTTTTTTGCATGAAGGAGACTCAACTCTTATTGGCTTAAAATGTTGGGATGCTGTATAAACTGTTGATAAAAGCAGATTTTGATGGTTTGCTGGTCACTTTGAGCTTATATGATATTTCAAGTATGCTGAATGTTGACGTTTTTATTGTAAACATTTTAAATTTGCTGTCAGTGACGTTTCAACAAATTGAGGTTAGAGACAACAAAGCACTAAATAAGTAGTGAAAATTTAATTTTCAGCAGGTTTGTAACATGACTGAGTATTAAAGGACTCTCCAGGATTTTTGAGTCTCTCGGCTGTAAAGCCAGGTTAAGGTTGGCCACTTTGTGAGAGACCATGCAAATATGTTTCTCAGAGTAGAACTGAAGAAGAAAAATTTGTGGACTCGCCATCTTCACTAAATAATACCATGAAAAGATTCAGAGAATCTGGAGAACTCTCTGTACGAAAGGGACAAGGACCAAAACCAAGACTGGACGATCATGATCTTAGGGCCCCCAGGTGGAACTGCATTAAAAAGAGACGAGACTCTGTTGTGAAAATCACTGCATGGGCTCAAAATCTCAGCCTAAAACCATTATCTGTTAAGGCAGTTTGTTGCTCCATCCACAAAAGGAGGTTTCAACTGAACCATGCAGATATGCAGAGACCTCTCTGGCCCTCTCATCAATTCTGCATGTACTACAGCAGCGTGGCTCTGTAGTACAAGAGTCCTGCTACTAACTGGCCTGCCTTCAGTCCTGCCTTGAAAACATTTGGAGCATCATGAAATGAAAACAAGAGATAGACCTCAAACTATTGAGCAGCTAAATCCTGTATCAAGCAAGAAAGAGACATTCCTCTCTCTTGCACTTCTCACACAATAATTGCAACCCATCAAAATCTGTTTAATCCAAATTCACACACCGCCTCTCAGCTTTTCCTGTACTTCCAACATGTCTCTTCTGCTGTCATCACATGACATGAGGTCGCTCTGCGGTGGGTTCAGTCCTCTGGGGTAACTGGGTCATTAGGAAGTAAAAGTGGTTTCATGCAGGTCATTTTGCTACACACAAGCCTGTGTCTGTTTTAGGCTTTAACTCTACCGTAGCTCTCCTTTCGCAAGGGCATGAGACCCCCCAACCACCAGGGGTCTCTAGCTGCATCTGTGAGGAGTTACTTGGGTCTGCGTGAGTACTCACCACAGATCTCTGCTTATTTATATATTTTTACATCTGGTTCTTTTCTGTCTGTCTCTGCCTCTCTCCTCTGTAACCATCTTGGTCATTGAATAAGAAACAGGTTATTTTATCATTTTTTTCAACAGTCAGATTTCTGTGGCACTCAGTTGCTCCCTTACTAGCACACATAGGGTAGTCTTTAGAGGGGCTAGTCTTCTCTCTCTAAGCTGCTTTTGTGATCTTTCATTCCCTTATATCAGGATATATTCACTCTGTTATTATTTTGCCAACATAACAGCAGCTTAAAGAACACAGTCATGTGACTAGATTGTTTTGTAAGTTCATGTGGACAGTTTGTTGTATCAGGGGTATCACGATATTTAGGCTGAAGTTTTTTTTTTTACTTTCTTTTTTTCAAAAATTCGGAACAGAATATGATCCTTTTTTATTTTTCCCCCACAGGTTTTACAGCCATCACAGCAACTAATCCGATATGGCTCATTAAGACCCGTCTCCAGCTGGATGCAAGGTAATTATGCAATGTGACACAGTGTGTGCTATGCAAAGTAAAAAAAAAAAGAAAAGGTTTAGAAGTCTCATTTTAAGTTTTGTGTCCTTTAAGGTGAATGAAACACACCCGTACAATCTGTCTTCATTTGTCGTTGTTGTTTCTCCTGCAGGGAAAATTCTATTAGACAAAAGATTTGATGGAGTAAATTCTGAGATTGTTTCTTTTGTCTTTCCTCAGGAATAAAGGCGAGCGTAGGATGAGTGCGTTTGAGTGTGTCAAGCGTGTGTATCGGGCAGACGGCCTGAGAGGCTTCTATAGGGGTATGTCAGCGTCCTACGCTGGTATCTCAGAGACTGTGATCCACTTTGTGATCTATGAAAACATCAAACGGCGCCTCTTGGAGGCCAAGGCACCACAGAACGTGGACGAGGAGGAAGAGGCGTCCAGGGACCCTTCAGACTTTGTGGGGATGATGCTCGCTGCTGCCACCTCCAAGACCTGCGCCACATCCATTGCTTATCCTCATGGTGAGGATTTGAAACATAATGAGTTTTTTTTGCACATTTAATAGTTTTTTTTTTTCCCCTCATTTCTTCTTTTCTTTTTGCTTTGCAGAAGTGATTCGCACCAGGCTACGTGAGGAGGGCACTAAGTATAACTCCTTCTTCCAGACTCTAAGAACAGTGCCCAAAGAGGAGGGCTACCGTGCCCTGTACCGCGGCCTCACCACCCACCTGGTACGGCAGATCCCCAACACAGCGATTATGATGTGCACGTATGAGCTGGTGGTCTACCTCCTGAACGGTTAAAGTCCCCTCACCCTACCTGCTGACTGTAAATGTTGCCCTGCCCTTGTTCAGAGACAGAAGGAAAAGAATGAGAGCACACAGCCACACCGGCACAACAACCTGCTCACGTGAAGAAGACAGAGACCGCAGGATGACCTTTGTCTCGAGCGGTTGTTGAAGATAAGTTGGCTGTTTCGTTGATAACCAAAGGGTCCTGCACAGAGAGGAGGATCGAAAAGTTCCTTACTTTGGTTTGGGGATCAGGAGTGGCACAGAAACGGCTGCCCTATTTTCAATTTAATTCCATCCTTTCCTTCCCTTGGGTTCTTCCCGTCTCAGATTAAGAGTGCTGAAGACAGAACCTAAAATACAGTATATTCTGATTCTAACAATACTAATAATGAGACAGACTTACAATAACTCAAATTCTAACTACCAATTGAATAAACAAACTTCCTCCAGCTCATGGCTTTGCTGTCAGGCTGAAGATCCGTTTTGGAAATCTTTAAATAGCACCACACGGTAATTTATTTCCTGCATCACTCTAGAGGACCAGAATGCAAATATGCTTGAGTTAGTAACGTGCTGGAGTATCTGACGAGGGCTCTGAAGTCTGTGGGAAGAAATCAGTGCTTAAGGCTGGTTCAGGGAGCATAAAAGAAGGAAAGTTTAGAGATAGAGAGGAACGTGCCTTGTGTGAAAATGAGGAGAAGCTCTGTTCACCCATCAGTAGAGTCTTGCACCTGTTCTGTGCAGGTTCAGGTCTTCTTAGAGGCTGTTTGTACCGAAAATAAACACTCAATCTGGGTTTATCAGATCATAAATCACCAGCTTTAAGTACGAGCATTAACATCTTGTGTTGACCACAGGTCTCCAGGTTCCTGCTTCAGATGCAAATTAAAATAATGCCCTATTCACTTTCATTATACGTCACAAAACATGATGACAGGCTTGTTGCTGTCACAGCCCTGTGGTTTATTTCTGAACTAAAACAAAAGCAGACGGGAGTCTCAGATTACACACAGATGCAAGTATATGCCTCCTAACTGTGCTGCTGCTCTTCCTCTGTTATTCACAGCATGTGGAGGCATTGATCATACATTATCAGGGTGTGCACCAAAACACAGGACGGATCACACCTTTTATGCACCTCAAGACAGAGAGTGATGTAAGAAAATTAAAATGATGACATATAGAGAGAGTGACCACAGCAACATTCTGTCTTCTTCTACTCTTTCCTTCTCAGTCGAGGGTCATTTCCTATGAAAGGTCTTTATCGCTGAGTGATTCCAGATGTTATATGTAATCCTGTATTTTTTAAGAACCCGCTCCAGTACATGAGCGGTGTCTTCACATGTTGGATTGGCAGAATTAATGACCAAGACCGTGAGACGTAGCTGAGAACTATGCCTTAAAGAAGTGATGTTGAAGAGGGGGGAGTTAGTGGAAATACAGAGTAGCTAATGTCATTATGACCTGTGTGGATCATCCTATTGTACTAGATTAAATAAGTCTTTGCAAGTAAATAATTGTAGACATATTTCCTGTATTTTCATGCACACCGTGCCACTGTTTAGTGTGAAAACCCCATCAGCACATGTTGGAGTGTCATGAAAATGAGAAACAGCAGAGAAAATTAGTAAACGGAGGTCTGTAACGTGTGATTGTTGCAGTAGCTACAAGGAGAGTGGGCGACCCAAAGCAGAAAAAACGCCTCCCTGACCATCTTCTAATGTGGACTGAGCCTGAGGGTTGGACTGATGCACATTGCCACATGTAGTTGAGGCTCACTGCTTGTAGTCTAAAAACCCAGATCTGGTGTTAAAGCTAGGAGAACACACTCACCTCAACATTTCCCCAAATTTAGTCATGCATCGATGCTAAAAATCTCTAAGATATATCTGCTAACTTCTCAGTGATAACAACCTGAACCTGTTTGTGTAACTGTGTGTGAAAGACAGCTATCTCTTAACTAAACCAGGAAATAACCTCCTATTTCTAACTACTAGAATGTACATAAGGAAGAGAGGACTCTGTATAACACTGACTTGTGTTGTGAATTGAAAGTAAACATGATTAACAAATTTTAACAAATAGTTATAGTATAAATAGACATATAGAGATACCTACAAAACGTGATTGTGCTGCATTTGTCTGCCCTCTAACAGCAAAATACAAATATGTAGTTCAGAGGGGGTCTGCCTTTTAGTCGTAACCCTGTCTCAAACAAAGCTGTTGTTTTTTGTAGCACTTTTCAACGTCTCTCTCTAAAATCCTCACCCTCTCAGTTTGAGATCCCGAGCTAGTTTTCAGGCGAGGACAATCCTCTCGAGTTTACCCCCAGAAGCTTGAGCAGTTCAGCCAGTGTGTGACGGGAGTTCCCAGAGAATTTGCTCTTCGTAGGCGCATGTAAGTGAAACGCACAGTAGCGATAAAAAAACAAAAACAAACTTCCCTCTTTTTGTTGTCTGAGGAAACAAAACATCTTCATTACAACCAGTTTAGAATTGAAAAAAAAACAAAAACAAAAAAATCAAGTTTCTTTTTTTTTTCTTGCACTGTTGGATGTTATTTCTTTTGGTATGGAAAGATTTGTGCTCTCTGCTTTGGGTGTTTTTCTCGTTTTTAGTCTGTTTTGTTATCAGTGTATGTCAAATGGCACAAAAGACAGAAACAGTATTTTGCTCTCACCTAAGAAACCATAGAGACAACTTCCTCTCTTAGAGTGCACATCACAAAAACCTAGCCTACCAATAAACGTGCAATTCCCCCTCAAAATACTAACCTTAAACAGCGTTGCTTAGCCCACAGATGATCATCTAACAGCAGCACGAGTGTTTGCAGAATTGCAGTCAGCTTGCTGTGGACAGTCTGGGTAGAAGATGCAGTGAAGCTTTGCTAGCATTAATCTCAAGGCAGGCGCTGTTGGACTTGACATTGTTCTCTGTGCAGTCTCGGATGCCTTTTCCCCTCTGGGGAAAGTGATTATTGAAGTGATCCTCCATGTGAACACCTTTAGTTTTAGAGCAGCTTAAAAGATGCACTAGGTTAGCACAATCCGCTCACACGCACATCCATCAACACACTATTTCTGTGATCATAACTGGACATTTCTGTTGCTATCGTTACACTTCTATGAGTTTGAAACAGGACAGTCTATGCATGTAGTGTGAGTTCATTGTAAATATCCGAGTTAAAGGTCATTTCACCCAAATCAACACCAGTACTTTCCTTGTTTTGGTCAAATCTCTTCATGTATGATCATATGCATCTCTCACTGGTATCATATGATGCATTCTCCTTTGCATCCCATGGTGACTCTGTTTGCATTGTGTGACAGTATGTGTTGCGTGTTTGCCTAAATGACAATCACTTGTCATTCTGTTGTGTCAGGAGTGAAAGAGCCTATAAGAGTATGTATGCACTCGCTGTAGGAGAACAGCTGCAGACAGTGTTGTTTTTATCTTTTCATTGAATTGTTGCCTTTTCCTGGTACCCTTCGTCATATTTGTTTTCCATGTTGTTGTTGAAAGCCCGCTGTGAGCGGGGCTTAGTCTATGCATTCTGTCATACCTGTTTTTGTAAAACAAAATGCCAATAAAGTGGAAAGAGTGCAAAGCTGTTTCAGTGTCTGAAAGTTTTCAATCCAGGGGTGTGACGATAAAATTCCACTTTGATGGGCACCGACACGTTTTACTAGTGGAGTTGAGGCATGCACTGAAGTGATCTGCTTAGTCAGCATGACAGAAGCTGCATGGGAACAACTGATTTGGTATTTATTTTAATGCTGTGGCAAGACTCAGGTTGCATCTGTTAAAAACAAAGGTGGTGGGCCTCCAGACTGATAACCAATATAGACCAAAAATAAATGCAAGTCCAGGGGGTGTGGCACGAGTCCTGCTTAAAACCTGAGTGGAGCCCAAAATTTCCAAATAATGGCAATTTTCCTTGTTAATGGTGGGAACTGTGTTAAAATGAAACTGCATCCATGTGGTGTTTCCCAACTTTGGAAATGCTCATGAACATCTGCTCAAGTTGGAACAACCATGCTGGAAATTGAGCAAGAATTTGGTGCCGGAGTTACAGATTTGACCTTCTACCGTCAACAACATGGTGAGAATAGAACCTGACTTTTTTGCCATGTTTTTTTTTATTTATTTATTCTTGTATTGCACATAAACTTTTGCTTATTATCATTGGTTGTTGTTTCATCTAAGTGAGCGAGACTCTTTCGAAACCCTTTTTATTATTTATTAACATTCCTCCTTGAATAAAAATACAGGTAATGTTAAATGTTATAGTTAAAAGCATGGGAACTCTGACTCTGAAACTCGTACCATCAGAGGAGCACATGACTGCAGTGACACATGTGGACTGTGATGCAGCAGGCTGCCTATAGTGCGTGTACGTGGAGTCCTCAGTTATGACTCTGATCCTGGCTTTGCCCATGTTGATGATGTTTACATGCACAAACACCAAAGTCAATACTTTAGAGAGTCAATCAAAGTAAGAGAGCACTCAAGTCCATATTGCCATCCTTTTATTAGTCAGTGCCCCAGTCGTACAAAGTCTGGACACACCCCTGGTTGCACATTATTATTTTGACTTAAGAGAGGAGATTGTTTGTGTTCCTAAAGTTGATATAATCCAAAATTAAACTGAGGAAGACTTGTGCATTTACTGAAAAACAGTTGGATTTACTTCCATTTTTAACCAGCAGGTGGAGGTGTTGACCTGCTCAGTTCCTGCTCTGCATAAACGATACTTAAAAAAACAACAATCTGTTACACACTCGTCCACCAGAAAAAAGAAAACTGGAAAAACAGATCCACTGTGATTGTTTGCCTGCATTTTTGGAAATACAGGCTGACAATTTTATATGAATCCTGACATCTAAAAAACATGAACTGACTGGAATATATGAATAAAAGGTGCCAGACAAATGACGGCACAAACACACCCTGCAGCCCTGCAGAAACACACACTTACCTAACCCACAGCTCCTTTTCTGGCCTCAACAACAGCACCACATCATCACATAAAGTCCAGCAGGACCAGCCTGAGTCAGACACCACATGCTTTCACTTTGTGTCAGACTGAAAAGGAGTGTGCTCCCAAAACCACGCTTCACAACCTGCCAGAAACGCCACTGTTTGTGAAATAATACGAGAGCCTGAGGCTGCAGGTTGGGCCTCACTTTTAAACTGAGCTTTGGGGACACAGAGTGAGATGACAGCACTGAACCTGATGGAGCCTGTTAGGTGTATGACTGGCATCTTGTTTACCTCTGAACTACACAGGAAGGTAAAACAAGGGCAGAGAAAAGAGACAGACAAACGCTATATTTCATTTCCACCCTCTCTGATGAGCTTCCGGCTCTGTTGTGGTTTTCTGTTGTCTGCTTTAATCCAGGAGAAAAAGACAATGTGGGCACTAATCTGTATTTGGGTTGTGTGTAAAGATTAAAGTCTTTACATCTATGTCAAGCTTTTCCTCTTCTTACTATGGTCTGTTTTCTCTCTGACCTCTTGCTTTGGCACATGCTTCCCAGTTTCAGTTTCCACTGAAGTGATTTCCCGTGTTTGAGGTCCTGTGGAGGGAGGCAGCATGCAGCGGGGGCATTTAAGAACATTTCAGCCTTGAAGCAACACAACTTTAGGGAGCTTTACAAGAGACAGGTTAGGAAATAAACTGATGTGGAGGGGGCTGAGAGATCCTCAATTTAGTCTGAAGTTACTGCAGGGTCTTTGTAACAGCCACATCCTCAGAGGACTCCTGTGAAGGTTTATCTCTCTCACTTATTAGTTTGGATGGCTGTTCACCAGGTCAGATGACCACTCTTTTACACTCCCTGGGATCAGCCCAGGCACAACACTGTCTTTGGGAGGGGCTGAGCAAAGGGTGATGAAGATTGAATCCTCATTGCAGAAGGGAAGAGTCACACTCAGGTTAGTCATACCAGTCATACAGCGTCATTCAAGAGTGGAAGCTCTCAGTCTGGTCTTCTTTTTGACAAGCATTCAGACTTTCATTCTAGTATAAAACTAGTGGAGTTCCCCTTCAGGCCCAGTCCAGGACTGTCCTTTTGTTTCCTCACAATGGGAACTTTCATTATTGTTCTACGGGCCACAGTAAAAATCAGAGAAGTATCCAAAGAACCTGGTGACTCTCAGCTTTCTGTATGAAGCTGTCCTCCCACTTAGACTCTCTATACGTCCACATTGTGTGGCGCACAGCCTCCAAATTCAGGGAGGCTGAATCATGTGTGGAGACAGTTTTCCTGTCTGGGTGAACACATGAACCTCAGACAGAAGCAGAGCAGCCTGTGCAGCACATGGCTGTCTCTCTGCTGCAGATTGAGCCCAGGGTGGAATAGTAATTGTGAATCGTGAGCAGTCGGGCTGCACGCTCGGGCAAAAAAATGAAGCTCTTCTTGCTTCAGATATCTTCCACAGCCCACATCATCAGAGTGAGAAACAACAATTCAAGCATATGGGAAGCATGCACATCACATTGTACGCATGGATGAAGAGGGAGCCTTCACTCTGCCTCTCTGGATGTGGTTGTGTCCCCTTAGCTCTCAGCTTTTATTCAGCAGGTTTGCTCAGAATATTCTCCATAAATACTCCTTTTGTGATCCAAATGTAGGACACTTGCCAGGATGGACTCCCTATAGTGTTATCCATTTGAACTCTTGTCAGCAAACTCTCTACTTTTATTAGCTGAGGTTTAAACAGATGCTTGTAGTTTGCTCATAATGAAAGACTGAACTCAGCAGATATTACCGAGTGTTTACTTTTTGTGGTAAAAGAAAATCTGACAAGTAAAGAGAATGACTAAATTTCAGATTTTACTTGACAAAAGTAAGACTCGAATTGCTTGCAAGTGTTAAAATAAATGTGAAAGAAACTAGAAAAAGATCACACCAAGAACCTTGAAAAGAGACTTAAAAAAAATCTATTAACAGGATCTTTACACAATATGGTGAATTCAGGTCTTTTTTATGGCATGCCGTATCCTAAAGGCACTGTGAGGAGTTTTTAACTGGGTGAGAAACAGACTGAAACTATTACTGATGCCTCTTTATGACCTTCAAAACCAAAAAAAGACCATCAGCCACCAGTCCGATGAGTTTACTGTAGTGATTTTTAATGCTGGAAAAGGCTGAGAGTCAGACCGGATAATAGACAGCAGGCTGAAAAACAGCTTTTTTAAACAGCAAATACTCAGAGTGAATGAGAAATGTCTTTATGTAAAGATAACAGGACGAGGTTTTTGCCTAGAAACACAACTTTCACATATACAGAATAGTAGTTAAGAGGTATCATTGTGTAAACAGGCGGTGCCAAAATCAACGTAACTGAAAGTTTCTCACAGCAGCTTTAAAATAGGACATTTTTCTGAACTTGATGGCTCAATTTAAGCCTAATGAGACACTTTTATCACCAAAAATGAGAAATTAACACTGCAGGATTTGAGGTTTTTAAGTGAAACTAAAAAAGGTGGTTTTATTTGGGCTATAAAAGCAAACAAGACCATCAGTAACAGAACAGATTATCTGAATATTGCTAAAACAGTCTTTTTTTTTTTTTTTTATGTTCTAATACAAAGAGTCCTACAGAGTGATGCAATTGACTGTTGAATGTAGTAAAAACAAAAAGGAAGTCAGTTACAGAGAGACAGGATGGAAACAGTTATCTTTCACTTAAAACAAACTATGATGACTACGAGTGAGTGTCATGGCAGAGAGCAGAGCTGATATCAGTCAATGTTTGCTAACCACAGATGTGAGTTTAAAGCTTAATTCAACTATTAACTCAGCTGGAAATAAGGCTGTTGCAATGTACAAAAAAATATATAGAGACACCTTGGTTAAAAGAAGCTTATGGTAATATCAATAGCTTATGGTTGCCAAATACCACAAAGCAAACAACAAAGAAGAAGCAGCAGTTGCCAACAAGCTAGGAGTAGCAGCCCTCTGGGCGATGATTGGGCACTTTCAGAAACTTAGATTTCATGATTTATTATGAATTCAGAAACAACATAAGAGCTTTTACCTCTCTGGATACTTTCTGACTCTCTTACTGTTTTCATTCAGGTCTGTGACTCATGACCTACCAAAATTTCTAAACTTCAAAATTAAAGCATGGCTTTGCAATGCCGGATATTGAAAGGAGGACAGAAAAGATAGGTTAACCAAAGATGAGTTTCAGTCACGGTGCAGGTGATGTAGATAAATCTGAACTGTAAATGTAAAATACTTGATCTACAGGGGAGCATTATGTGATAATCAACCTTGTGGTGTTTGCTCAGGATGTAATTTCAGTCCAGTAGTGAAGGTGTTTCAGTCTGATGCACAAAAGTGGAGGACCAACAAACAAACTTGAAATGCACACTTCAAACAACTTTAATCTATGAACTTTTCCTAATTGACCTCAAAACAAAGAAACAAATGGAAATGCAGCAACAAAGAGCCCACTCAACCTTGGTTTAGTCTGAACCTTGTTACCCGCTGTGTCGGGCTGTGAGAAGCACACTGCCGCGGGGTTGAATTCAGGGACATCTCTCTGTGGCACACACACATAAACACACACACAAATCACGGACATATGGGAGAGAAAGTGAAAGGAAGTTCAGCCAAGTCGAGACATAGTACTCCCCTCTATTTCCTAACAAGCTGGAATCCTCGTGGTGATTCAGTGACATTGTTTGACTGTCAGTGCAGTCTCCAATTATGAGCCACTTCACAAACAGTTCCAGGAGAGCCAGAGGCCCACAGGATGAAGAAATGGCACGTGAGGATTGTTTGGGACCGACAGCCAAAGGGGGAAATGGGAGTACAGACAGAGAGGGAGATGCAGCAGTGGAAGGGGAAGTAAGGCAGACAACGAGGTAATGAAAGGCAGTGGATGAAAACATCTGATGCAAAGTGTCTGTTGGAGGAGCTGCAGAGCTTTCTCTGAAGTTTGCACCAAAAAAGCGACAGAACATGCAGACACATGCATCTGAACTCGCACTCTTGCTGCCTCATTCACAAACCACAGCCTTGATACGCACAAAGCTCACTCTTACACAACATCAAATCCACTACGTGCACACTCACACTCTCACACACACCCAACATGAGAGCGCTGAGTCATGTTCAGAGGAAACCAACTCTGTTTCGCCAAGATTAACTCCCTGAATTCATAAATAACAGGTATTTCACTGTCTGTGGAAACAGCCTGTTGGAACGATAAAGACAAAGGAGGAGTCTCAGCAGCTACTTTAAAGTTTAGACAGACAAACAACTGCCTAACTCTGTCCACAGGAGAGAAAATGTAGTCATCAGAAACCCTGGAGCTTCGACTTTTATAGCTTGTATGTCTTAGAGCTCCCCCTACTGAGTGGATGACGTCTAGGTCACAAACTCCACCTCTGCTGTGTTAACAGATGGCGCATGAGCCAAACTAAGATATTAAAAAACACATCAAATACGTGTTTCTGATTTCCTAGTGAACTCTTATTATGCTGCTTTATGTCCAAGTCTTGACTTTTTATGGGAGGCTGAATTCAAAGCAGATCATTAACAGCTCTACTGATTAATGTGGGCTTTTATCTCATATATGTCATTTTATTTCGCGCAGTGAGGGCTCATTAGAGTGTTTTCTCAACACTGAAATACACTGGTGGTTACATTTATTCATCCACTTTGCAAAATGGTAGTGAAAAATAGAAAAATGCACTAGAAATAATTACTTAGACATACATGCGCTTTTCTCAATGGAAGAAGGCAAGAACTAGAAATGGTTGATAACGAACTTTGTCAGGTCAAGCAGAGCTTTGTTCCTCTGTTTCATATTGTGTCAATACTTTTCACAGTGCTAATGTAAAACTATTCACCATAAATGTGACTGCAGAGTCAAAGAAGATTTCCCTTCCTTTCTTTTATGTTTTGTTGAATTGTTTGTCTTGGATGTGTCTGATCTTTAAAAGTGTAGCTTTCCTACTGTTTGTGTTTGTAGACGTGTATCTGGTGGACCCTGTCTCTTAAAGACAGCAACACCCCTTTATTTTACATTTTAAAACACAACAGAGCTGTCTGGACTAGGAGCATATATAAATAGATTATTAAAGATCCCGAGGGGAACTTTTGGCTTGTGTTAATTTTGGTGCCCCTTTTAGCTTATCTTGTCTTTTGCACATTTACATGTGTCTTCTGACCAAAAATCTCATACTGCTGACTTTTGAAAATTTAATAGATCATTTTTGTGAATATTTCATGTGGAAAACATAAAAATACCTTTTTTTTCCAACAGTGGCTCCCCGGACCCTCCTAATGCTAATTTCAGGCATAAAAAGATCTGAGAATAAAACTGGTAAATCTAAAGGTGTCAATATGAATGTCAGTCTAATTCATGTAAGTCAAAAAACTTCTCACAGGAGCTTCAATGAACTAATGATGTAGATAAATTTCAGAAAATAACTGATATTAATTTTAGAAGCATAGTTCTGTTCATCATAACAGAATTTATATCAAATTCGGGCCACATTTATAATGATTTGATTTGCATTTCTACATTTAGACCGGGAAAAAGTTAAAAATTTAGAAAAGATAACACTGAGGAAACTAAGACTAACACTTCAAGCAGGAAACATGAGTGTTACAGCAGAGCCACAGGACTCCAAAATGACTTCTTCACCACTTTCCTCGCATTGCTGAACCACAACCACAAGCCTGGTGAGGCTGCCTGCAGTGTCTGCAGACATTACTGAACTGAATCAGCCAGTGAGACATCACAACAAGCTGCTGCCCACAAAAAGTGCCCAAAGACAGGTTACTCTTGCACTAAGTACAAGTAAAATGATAAACTGAAGCGTTAGATGCTTTAAGCACAGCACTGAATAACAAGGAAAGGTTTAGAAGACTACATTTAATGATTGCATAATAATTCTTTCACATATATCTTCAGTATGTTCAGCTAACATAGACTTTCTTAAAACATAAAAACATTGTGTTTCAGTATGTATTCAAACTTTAAGTGTGAACACATGTTGCCTACTTAAAATACATGTTAAAAAAAATAGGGAAAGCTACTGGCACCTCGTGATTTTACTCAGAATAAAACTATTTGAGACATGAGATGGTCTCCACCCAGCGTCAAGCTTGCAGAAAACCTTGAAATTCTCAGGAAACTGAATTGTGATACATACAAAATAAAAGCACGCCATTGGAAAGGTGTAGATGGATATTTCTGATTGCATCAAGAAAACAAGAAAACAAATATATTATATCGGGATAGGGTGCGTAATAAAGCCTCATATTGGAATATTAGACCCAAACTCTTCAGTATGAACCTGCCGTTTCCGTGACAAATCGAGTCGTCGTGAACGACGTGATCGGATGACATATTCCTGTTTCAGGTAACTTGACACCGGTCACCTTTCCTTGATCCCGAGCCTGCAACCAATCAGCGGCAGTCAGGGACACATGAACGGTGATAATATCCACGGAACAGGCTGCAGGCAGGAGGAACAAAGAAAGCAGCCCGTAGCGTGAGAAGCGTCTCTTCTCCGCGTCTGCGAGGATAAATATCCACTTCATATGAGCTGTTTTTGCTTTTTCTTCAAACACAGACCAAGAAGTGTTGGCTGTCACGCAGCGCCTTGAGTCGGTCTGGTCGGTTTTGCTGAGGAAAGAGGGAACTTGGCGTCGAGTCAGGTCGACCTTATTTGCGTTGGAGACGCTTGTTGTTTTGGAAGGAAACGCTCGGTAAGTTCACTCTTTCTCCTTTACGCACCACTTGAAAATGGTGTCGAGCAGAGCTGTAGCAGTCTCCTGGCCGTGTGGTGTTGTCTCTTTGCTTTGTTAGACTCAGACTAAGTCAGGTCTCAAACTTTCTTCTTGTGTTTTCTGAGGAAAACCAACCAACTCTCTGCGCAACCAGCGAGACAACAGCGATCTCCAAAGTCCATTCAGTGCGCTGTTGTTTTAGGGCTTTGTTGCTTCTTTATAACAAAGACAACCGAGAACTTTGATACGCGGGTATTTCCTGATGGTTTGAGTCTATTACATAATTTAGACTGAGTAATTCAGCTTCATTGGAACAATCCTGGATGTTTGGTCACGCACCCAACAGCCCGGACTGACTTAATTTCCATCTGTATAGTTTGTTTAATGCCTTGATTTCTATATACTTACTCAAATAGGATGCCGAGAAGGCATTTCTTAGAACAAACATAATTGATACACCGGGTCTGATTTCAGGGCACAAAATGTAATTTCAATAACAAACTCCAAGAACCTGAATGGAGGTTTTGAATTTCGGTTTTCCTCCTGGCGTCAGTCCTCTGTTCACGCCTGCTGTTGCAGGAACACCTCTATTTATGACTCATTCATGCACAACTGATCAGACACTTCCAAATGAATTTATTTTTGATGGCAGTGGAAAGAGGAGTGTTGCACAGTTTTCTCTCCAGCATTTTAACATGTTAATAATTTAAAGGTGTTTATCGAAATTTTCATGTTAACAGTTAATCTAAAAGTTACAGGTCCACCGATACAGTTGTTCTGGAGCTGAGGTCGATACTTATAATAAGAGAGTAGGTCAACGGATGGCCCATAAACAATGTTGATATAATTTTTTTATGGGCCATTGCTTGACATAAGAATAAGACTAACTGTATTTATCCCTGAAGGTCATGTTGATATCAATTTTTTATGGGCCATTGGTTGACATAAGAAAAAGACTAACTTTATTTGTCTCCGAAGGGAAATTGGCAAGGAAAATTCATGATGGCAGTTTGAGTTTCAAACTCAAATTCATACATGGTTGTATGTTATGATTTACGATGAACTATTGGAAATACCCAGCTGTTTGGTTAAGCTATAGTTTTCGTAACATGTCTGATATTACCATCATTACTAATTATTACATACAACATGAAAACATTATGGGTGGTGGGAAAGATAGTGATGAGGGCCAATGCCAACATGGTGCCGATTATATCAGAAAGCCACTCATCGGTCAGATAAGTGGGTCTATCCCTAAAACTAACTATAATCAACAGTTAAGCAGTGGTGTCCTCAGCTTTGGCAGTATCATACATGAAGCTTTAACCCTAAACAAGCGTTAGAAACTGGACGTTTGACTCCGTTCAGGGTCCGTTTGATTAGCAGTTTGCCTGCTATTTAGAGGCTAAATGTTTTGCCTGTAACCACACCATCTGCTTTGCCCTCCTGGGTATCGGCAGGCTACTGTCCAGATCAAGTGTTATGAGAGATCTGCGTGGGACGACCACAACAGATGGCGATATGGAGAGCACGGATGGCTGATGTGGTGGCGAGTCTCTCTGTTGTGGTTTTCATGGTCTGGTTGTCAGTTGTGGTTTGTGCAATAAACAAGAACCAAATCTGCACCCCCCATCATGTTGGATTGGTATGAGAAATGGTTTGATTCTTAATTGGTCCTCCTAGGCTGTTGGAGAGCAGGTCAGAGAGGAGCCATTGATCTCTGCTCTCTATTTTCCACCATCTGGGATTTGACCCCGTGAATACCGTGGATTGAGCTGACCTCGCTGTATCAGTGAGGGTGGTCGGTATAAACGTGCCCGAGCCTTCAGGATGTTGAGGTCAAACGTGGAGTTCTCTATCAGGTCTCATTTCCAGAGTGATACAAACTGACTCCTGAAGTCTTCAGGGAAAACAGGATCAGTTCTTTGAAGTGGACTTGGGCTGATTGGAGTTGATTTGAACCTAAACACTCTGCAGTGAGTGAAGAAATCAGTTTGCCTTTTGAATGTCCTGGTTCTGCTATGTAGCTTCCCTGTGGTAGAGATTGAATGCAAGTGGTTGGCAGGCCCCTTCCTCAGTTTTGAGTCATGTTGTTGTCATTTTAGCTATCACTCGCTGTACTGAAGCTTGTTGTCTCATGCACAAAAATAAATCTGCAGCACAAAGCAGGGCAATGACTTGGATTTAAATTTGGATCATGGTTTCCCATGATCATAAAATCATGCTGCACTGCCCCAGTCATGTCCTATTGGTTGAAGGAAGTGCATCCTTCAGGCAGCCACGGGTGGAGAGAGGAGAGCAGGGAGAGGAGCTGGGTGTGTCTGAAAAGCAAAAGGACAGAATGCGCAGGATGAGAAAGGCAAAAACAGGAAACTATACCGTTTTTCCACTTTTTGTTTCTGACTAAGAAGCAAGAGTTTGTAGGTTTTAAAGAGGTTTCAGGTTGTGTTAAGTTGGTGCAGTAGAAGTAAAAAATATGATCACGATTTTTGTCATAACCAAGCAGCCCTAGTGTAGCAATAACATGCACTCACACAAACGCTCCTGGTGTTACATTGTTCAAATCTTAGGAGCATTTGCAACCAAAATAGTCTTCTTTTCCTGCTCTGACCCACAAACCAGCAAGCAGCTGTCCAGCTTGTTGCTGAGACACTCTTGATTATTTGTTTTGTAAAGGAGAGGACTTGCAGATTATTCCTCTTTCTGTAAAAACCTTGAACAGTGAACAAAAGTACAGAGATTTGACTGACAAAACACAAACACAGCCAGCTTTTGTGTCCTCTCCTCTGCTGACATGAAGGGGCAGCCATAAGTTAAACACAGTAAAAATGTGTAGCCCATTGAATGAACAAAAATCTTCAGTTTCCATCTCCATTTCTATGTCCAGGATGGTGTGTTTGATCCATGTCCTAATGATGCAGTGTTATCTCCTGGCTGGAGAAACAAGAGTCTTGCATCCTGTTGTTATCGTCTAACATGCTGAGAACAGCTATCATTGCCTATAGCATTGGCTGGGATTGTTGGAACAAATGTCACTTTGTTCTCCGGCATTGTAAGAGGCCACAACAGGGTAGTGTGGCCCCTGTGACCCGTCTATACCACAGCCTCACAGACGTTGGATTTGTTCAGCAGATACCAGCATCAGTATACAAATGTTACATAATGCAAAGATTACAGTCATATACAGTTTAAGCTCAAACACATTCCTCCAGTTTCTCTTTACCCAACATAAACACGGTATGTTATGTCTGCAGGGAGCTAATATTGACCTCAGTCTGGCGCCTGTCTGTGCATAATCAAACCTTGAACCCACCGGTCGAGTCTGGATGTGGTTTATCTTCATGTGTTGGTTTGACAGGTGAAGTGCATTGAGTGCATCACTGCAAGCACAATACAGCTCAGTTAGAATTTGCCAGATTGTCTGAGATTGTCTCAGAACATGTTCTCCAAAAGTTAGCTGAGGTTACCTGCCAGGGAGACCATGCATGGCTCAACGCTTGCAGCTCTGTCAGGATATTTGTTAAATTTATGCTGACCCCAGGTAAGAAATGACTCCACACCTCTCGGTTGCTCCTCTAGTGTCAAGTAGCAAATCAGGTCTAATGACAGCTGCAGGTGACACTCAGGTAACAACAGCCTGTCCTCTTTGCTTTCCTCCTGCTGCTGTAAACAGCACCCTGACACTGATCATCGAAAATGAGCTTTCTGTGCTCTGGGATGTGTCATTCACAGCACTTGTTTGTCAAACTTACCACCACCATGTACCATCACTACTATCAACTCCTGCATGGTTGGTATCTCATCTTTTTATATCAGCATATATATTCTCTCTTTTTCTGGAAGTTTTCTTGTAGTGAAAGAAAAAACATATAAGATAAAGTCTCAGAAGCTTCATCAGACCTGTTGTTTTGTCATTGTAATGTAGATAGCATTGCAGAAATAAGCTTCAGTGCAACATTTTTTAAAATTAAAGTCAGCTGCAGTCATTCATTCCCCGACAATCAAACTTGACACCAGGGCTGTCCCAATACAACTTTTTTACTGAAATATGATGCCAATGTTGTAGCCTACAGTACTGGCCGATGCCAATATTGATCTTATGTTGCACAAACTTGTGGATGACAAGTTCTGCATTGAGCTGTAACATCTTTTTTTTAGACTTAAACAAAAATACTGCCACACGGCCGATATCACTTCGACTCCTTGCTACTTTGTTAGAACATTAGTACACACTGTCGTTGTGATTACGCGGGATCTGCATGCTGGAGCTGAGTCTGGAATGGACTGCTTGTATCGGCGTATCGGTATCTGGGATTTTAGATACTGGCCAATATAATCCAATATTCATTTTTGGCTGATATCTGACTGATATCAATATTGGATTGGGACATCCCTACTCAATACACCCCCTACAGACAGAGAAGTCTTTCCATGTCTTGTCTCCTTCATTCCTTGAGGAGTGTTTATCACCCTACAAATACTGGCAATGCACCTGGGAGATGTGCATGGTTATATGTTAAAGCATTAATGATTCTTTATGTCCATGTTGAATAGACAAACAAATGCATGACTACATGTAAAGCTTTTTATGATCAATAACCAGCATGCACTCTGCATTGATTCATGAGCAGCATCTCTAGATGTTTAGAAACTAAAGCTGTGTAGATGTACCGAAGAGGTCATTTCATTTCACCTCAACAACTGTCATCAAGAATATAAGAAATCTAAATAAAATCATGAAATGTACTTGAGGGTGTGTTTTAGCTTGGTCCCTGAATGCTGACAGAAGTAAAGCTGCACTGGGCACTTTTAGCAAAAGCCCCAGCGCTCATGTCTGAGCTGCCTCCCGTCAGGATGTATTTTATTCTCCTCATAGAAACTTTATTCTCTGTCTCTCTGAGGATCTACAGCAAGTAGTTTCTCCTTTGAGGGGTTCCACTAAAGTTGAAGGATGTGTGATAAAAGCCCAACCCTGCTACAGTTTGAGCCCAGCAACTCCCCCCAACAAACACACACACACACACACACACACACACACACACACACACAAACACACACACACACACACACACACACACACACACACACACACACACGCGCAGCTGAGCTGCCTGAGCTGTGAGGCTGTTTCAGCAGAGTGGTACTCTGCTGCCAGCATGTCTGATGCTGACTCAGCTGAATGTTAATGTTGTGAAATCCCATTAAGAGCAATCCGGTGCTGAGTGGGGCCACGCCTGGGCTTTATGGGACAGCAGGTCCTTTTTAAAAGGCCAGCAGTGCTCTTGTGTTTGCTCCGTGTGTAATAGAGTCTAATCACTTGAGTGGCTCATGCTGAATTAAATCGCACTGTTAAATCACTGCCACTCATGTTTAGTTGCTCTTGACGGCTATTTAAACGGTTTTGGGTGAGTGTTGCCGGTTGGGAATGATTTGTTGTGGAGTTTTGCAGTTGCACTTAACTAATACTGCTTACAGAGAAAGAGGAGGAAAAGAACACAAACACAACGTCTGATGTTTGCATTAGTCTGCAGTGATAAGGTTGTTACACAGCTGCAGGAAATGCATGCAAAGCACCAGCAGTTCACTTTGAGCTCAGCAGAGCCTGGAAGGAGACAGAGAGGTGATTTTTGTGTGTTGTTTGTGAGGGGATCAGAAGGAGGGATACCCTTTTAAAGAAAGAGCTTTCTGTTCACGTGTCACTGTTTTTAATACCGAGCTCTTCGTGCAGATGACTGTTGTCGTTTGCATGTAAAGAGGGTGAGACAGACGGAGGCTAAACAGGGCTTTTTCCATAAGAGTATCCCGTGTTTATCTTTCAAATCAGAGAAGGATGTGGTGTAAAGCACTCCTCCTAGAAGAAGCTTCCACCCACATGTTTCTATACTGGTACACAGAAAGCTCTGCATTGTGCGCAGCAATGAGCTCCCTACTCCTGTGAATGAAAACTACTCAATGCTTACACTCACTGATCTGCTTATTGGAGCAACAGATGAGAGTTAGTGACTTCATGAGCAGGTAGAACACATTGATTGCAGTGTCATGGATGTCCTCCATCCAAGATAGAAGGGATGTGGTCAGTTTCAGGGGGAGGAGGAGGGTCTGTTTTGCAGAAAGGCTCTACATGCCTGTAGTGAAAGCCTTAATAACGTGTCTCCTCCTGTAACTGAAGCTATTTCCTTTGCAGGTACAAATCAGATACAGAGCTACAGCTAATATAATGAAAACAGTATCAGGCAGTATTTACTGTGAAATGCAAGTTTTACCATGTCAACAGTCTAAAGCAAGCTGATATAGAGTCCAGACTGTATGCACAAGCTGGCTTTTCTGTTTCTGCACCTCTGGCTTTGCTTTAAAGGTCCCATATTATGAAAAATTCACTTTAGAATGGTTTTCTAACAATGATATTGCATCCCCAGCCTGTCTACAAACCCCCCCAAAATGAGAAAATTCTATCCTCTCCCTCTCTGGACGGCAATAACTCCTCCCCTCCATCTCCGTGACTCTGCCCTCAGAAAATTTCCACTCACACACTATTTTTCTCCCTCACAAACGCTATTTCAAAATGGGCCAGTAGGCAAGGCTAGGCTAGAAGTTGAGGCTAGTCGCAGTCCTCTGATGACAAATCATTTTCTGTAGACTGCAAGAACATTGTCACGAGAGATAACTATAATTACGATGTTGCACATTCACCAAAAGAGCTTCAAGGATGAGAAGACAGCGGGGATGTAACCATTAGCCAGAGTTAATGTGACCTAGCTACATGTAAGTCACTGTACCAACACATGAACAAAGTAAAAAAAATATTGAGACACATCATATTTGTAACTAATCATTCAGAAATGTCCTGCTGCAGCCACAGAGTTGAAATTTCTTCAGCAGCCTTTCCTTCTGGGTCAGACTCTTTAACAAACTGGTATATAGCCAAACCTAGCACTCTGTGTAAACATCAGTGCATGGTACTGTAGCGCAAGCCACAACCCCATCTCCAGAGAGACAGGGAGGGGCGTGGCTTGCGCTGAAGGAGGTATGGACAGGTGCAGCTCACAGAAACAGCGTGTTCTCTATAGAGCTCACGAGAGAATTTTCAGGCTGGCTCAAGTTCCAGGAAAAAAAAATGGGTTTATAGACAAAAAACTTCATTTTGACTGCTCTGAGACCTAAGTGAACCTGCTGAAAATAGCGATGCACCGATCCAATATTTGGATTCGATATGGGCTCCGATATTGACGGATTAACTGGATTGTATGTCGGATGAATGACACCGATCCTTCGTCCCGTTCCAACCTTTTTTTTTTTTTTTTAATTAATTTTTCTTTCAATACATGAAAGTCTTACTTCTTCTTGTAGTGCACTAATGTGCAATTTGTTATTTGTTAATAAATAATATTCAGTAAATTTATATCTGTGTTACTTGTTACCTTTTTTTTTTTAAACAAGGCTAATGTCAAGCCTGATGCCTTCCCTCACAGGGCAAGGTATACAATTCATTCATTTAACAGAAGTATTGGATCGGTGTCTGATATCAGCCGATACGCTCAGCCCAGGTATCGGTATTGGATTGGATCGGGGAAAAAATTGATCGGTGCATCTGTAGCTGAAAAGGAGTATAATATGGGAACTTTTACAGTTGACTCGGTAACATCAAGGTTAGCATCTGAATGAAGCATGTCTTCCTGTCAGGCTGAAATCCATTTGCTGAATGAGGTTGTGTCTGCAGCTGGGCAGCACTCCTCTTCCATGGCGTAGTTTGAGGGACTGGCCTTTCACAAAGTCATGAAACGTGCTCTTTCTTCTTATTCTGCTTGTGCACACACTGTTGCACTGCTGAGCAGGAAGGCGCACTGCTTGTTTTTAGTTTTTCCTCTTATTCAGTCTCCGCAGAGAACCTGAGGGTCTCTACATAAATTAACATAAAAACCAGGAGCTCATCTTTGTAAAAGATAAGCCTAAATCTTAACTGGAAGACACAAGTTTCCTCTGCAGTGTTTAGAACCAGACATCCTCCCCCCTCAGCTTCTTCCTACCAGCTGTCTCAACCATCTTTTCCCCCCTTCATCTCCATCCTATTTCCTGCCACAACAATCTGCCATGCAAAACAGTGTGCCCGAACCACAGGGTCAATGTTAGGGCAGCGCTGGCTTTAATACAGCTGATGTGAATCATGTCACCTCAGGTGACTTCTGCACAGTGTTGTGTTTGTTGTGTAATCATATGTGGCTGCCCCTGTCGATGCGGTGGGAGACAAACTGAGGCAGAAGAGCGAGGCATGTGCACATATCAGTGATAACCTGATCTGTGGTATACAGGGTCTTTCTTTTTTTTTTTTCTATTACTAAACACCCCATTTCCATTTCAACACCCAATAACACAACATGGGTTTTCCAGTCCTATCACATCATGACATTTGGATCTGCATATTAACAAGGCTTGTTTTTGTTTATAAGTGATGTGTCTAAATGATCCAAAAGTAAGAGTACATTCAGGTGGTGTGTGTTAGTTAAGCAGAGGAACAATGAGAGCATGGAGAATAACGTTTCAGTGTTCCTTCTGTTTTAACAGAAATGAATGCATTTATATTCATTTGACTGTTTGGATACTTCAAATGTTTCCTAACAGACCTTTGCTTCAGTACGCACATGCTCAAACCTTAACCTCTAGTTTCTTTAACCACCACATGAAACCTCTGCCATCATTGACAGCAACACTGCACCGTCATGAATAATTAAGTCATCCTATGTGCTCTGCTGGGATTCCGTTGCTTCACCGACGTGCCGTGGCTTTGTTGCCTGCTGGGCCTCCCTTCAAGATGTCAGGATCTTTGTTCGCAGTGGTCGGTCTCATCTGGAGAGTGCTTATATGCTTTCCTGTCTACATATTTGTGCACGGGTTGTTTAAGGTTTTGGGTTCTGTTTAGGATGTGCCTGGAAAGTTAAAGAGAGAACTGAAGCAGGAAACGGCTGGACCTGTTAAAGCTTGAATTTTACATTATTATTAGTGAAATAGCTCTGTTAGTGTGTGCAGAGGTGAACTTAAGCGACTGTTACTGTGCTGCAGGGTTCGAGTGAGGTCAGAGCAAATTAACACTTCTTTGTGGCAAAGTGTTGGAGTGGGGGTGAGAGAGGAAGAGGTTTGATCAAAGCAGCATAAAAATGGAGCAGACTGTTTCACACCGCTCTGTTTTCGCTCTTTTCTTAAGGTTGTTTGCATTTTTAATTACAACTCAATCAAGAGCTTAACCACAGCAGCTAATTAATGATCCAGTTCAATTTAAAGCTTGTTTGCATGCAGCTAATGATGACTTATTTTCTCCGGGGGCAGATGAGATCATAACCTCAAACCGAGCTGATGTAGCTGTTGAGGTGTCGTGTTATTCTGATCTCATTGCTTACATGCAGAGCCTGTCAAAGTCACTCTTGAGCTCAGCCTGTTGCACTCTCTGAGTGGAGGCAAAAACATGTCGGGGGGGGAAGAAGTAGTTTCTGTTTTGCCCTGCAGAGATGTAAAAGACAGGGCCCCAGGCGGTAAAAGTTAAACCACATTTCTGTGCCAATTTTAGACGCATGAGCAAGAACTCTGTAACCAACTTTCAAGAGAGTAGCTGTTGTTAGACTGGAGAGCTGCTGAGCGGGTAAACCTCAAGAGGGTAAAGGTTTCAGCTCTGTCCCTGGGAAAGAAACTGTGTTGCATTCAGCAATGTGTAGTTTTGCTGCACATGTGTAGCTCTGTCTTGTTTTTGCTATCCTGCCAGCTACCTACACAGTAGCTGAGCTGAGTCATTGTTCGTTGGCTACAGAAGGGCCAAAAACCTGCGTCCAGCTGCAGAGATAATTGTTTGTCTCAGATTAATGAGTCTTTTTATTCAAACCGGTCCTCCACAGAGTTCATTTACATCATGGTACATCTCTGTTTTTTTTCCTCTTTTAAAGCATCATTAGGACCTCATGATAAGGTGAAAAGCCGCAAAAATAAGTGGTGCCAGTAGACTGGTCTGGCTTGCTTTGCTTTGCAAATCGAACTAGTCGCTTTTTTCGCTCTTTTCAGCGCCACCTGCTGGGCAAAATACTATAACATAAAAAAAACTCTGCATCTTATTCTGGTGTACTGGTTGCACCTGTGCAGACGACGCAGCTTACGTTTCAGATTAGAAAAAGGTGATAAAATGGGGAATTGTTGCAGGGCTTTCTGGTTTTCATTTCTGGGCTGGAAACAGCCGTACAAAAGTGCATCTTATACACACAGTTTTACCCAATTACTTATGATATAGGGTGTTAATTCTTGTTGATTTATGACTCAACTCTCATAAAATGTCAACTTTATTGAGAAGGGTGCAGTTTGTTTTAAGAGGTCATACAGTTTTGTATTTTGTCTTTGTTTAACACATGAATACACAAAAATTGATATTCAAATTATATACATAAAATAAAGCCCCAAGAAGACAAAAAATACGTACTTCCTGGTCTAATCGCTTTTATTTTGAAAGGCTTTGAATCAACTTCAGACAAAAAAGAAAAACGTACTCCTCCTATATTTGCTTTTATTTTGAAAGGCTTCAAATCAACTTCCGGTCCTTGCAGTGGAGGTCTTCAACAAAGGGTCCTGACAATGGAGGTCTGCAGCCAGACTGTCTGGACTTTATTGAAATATGCATCTTTCGTGTTGGGCTTGGATAAAACTCTTATCAATATTTCATTTTTTTAAAATGGCTCTATCTGACAAAATTAAGTAATGTGATTTATTTTCAATGACTTTTTTTTTTTTTTAATGCAGTCAGCATAGGAAACTGGGGATGAAGCACTGTGGGGTATTTCAGATTCCCTCCATCTTCCTATCACCTGGCAAGCCTCACAGATTGATGATCTACGGCTGAATGACAGACATTATATCCAAATATAGTAAATGACAGAGATCTTATCAATGTGCATTTTAGCTGTTACTTCAAACTGTATTAAAAAGCCTTCAGTGCTCTGTGGGCCCCTTTTTATAGTTCTATTAAAGAGTCGTGCTGATAGCTGCAGCTTCACTCTGGGCCCATATTCAAAGCTGAATCAGACAATAGAAGTGATTGGTCCCCAAGGAGTGACTTTGGATTGAAAAAACACAAGATTGGAAGTAGAGACAGTAGATGAGGCAGAAACAGCTCGGGGCCGTGGTCTCCCAGGGGCCTCCTACTGATAAATGGTTCACCCCTTTTCCCTCTAACCATCATTAAAAATGTCAAATCATTAAAAGCTGCAGCTCTATATAACCCTGCCTGCTCCCTCCCCATACTCCTCTTTCCTCTGGTGAAATGTGTTAAATTGCACTCTGGTATGTGTGTGAGCTAAACTGCAGTTATCCTCCGTCAGTGTGCACTGATTTTTCTTTTAATTATTGTCGGAGGATGGAGTGACAGCAGAACAAATACTGAAAAATATGTATGAGTAAAGCAGTAATTGAGCGGTGGTGGCATTAAAAAATAAAGCCTTCAACTGGGAGAACCGGATCAGAGCTGTCAGGAGCATCCATTCGAACCTTTTGAAGATGGTGCAAGAGATTATCATGCAAATCTCTGTACAGCCTGAAAATACAGTATGTGTGCATGCCGAAAAGCAACATCTCATTGGACAGAAAACAAGGTCACAACAATGAGCATTATAAGCTGAAGTTTCTTTTAAGGTAAAGCATGTTTACATTGCTTCATAAGTTGTCCTGTCCTCTGTCCTCCATCACACCTGCGACTCTGTACACTACCTTCACAAAGCAGACTGCTCTCATTCCTATTTTGCAAACTCTTCCAGACAGACGGGGAGCAGAGAAGGACAGAGACAGAGATGTAACCTTGTAGCTGATGTTTGTCGGCTGCAGAAACTCCCTCGCTGTTTTCACGGCTCACCGGGGAGCTTCGAAGGTCCTTCAGGAGGAATTTAAGACAGAGATATTTGCACACAGGCAGAACAACTCTGCCACCAAAAAACAGCTAGTCTCAACCACTTAACCCTGTGTGGGCCACCTTAGTCACCTCTGGATACTGAGGACAACACTGTCAGTTTTACAGCTCTGTACCATTTGCTTATATAGTAGAAAAGTTCTGTCTTTCCCATCCTCTTTTCGTCTGTCAACGCTTTGTTTACTAAATGAATGCATTACTGAATTACTGAATGATCAACTCTCGAGTTTGTTCTTAAATCCGTGGCCCCTCTGTGCCACCCTCAGGTCGATTTTTCTGAATCACATCTAATCGTACTGAACGAGAGCCCGCCGGTTCTTCCTGGGCTGCGTGTGGGCAGACTGGGATGAAACAGGTGGTGAGGAGTGCGGGGCATTGGAGAGGAAGGCTACCTCGGAAGCCATGTAAGCCCCCCTGCTGTCTCTTCAGACCACACACTAATCGCAGCCTGGATCAGTTAGTTGGACGTGTTTTTCTGTGAGCCTGCATGCGCTTACTTGTTCCTCTCATGATAATGTGGCAGAAAAGCTTCCTTCTGCTATTTCACTGCTCAGTGGATCATTTAAGATCATTTTACATAGCTTAAAAGACACGTTTAAACTAGGAATGGGCATTAAAAGACAGTCCCTTGATCGATTAATCACATAAATCAATGATCAATCATTGATTTGATCATCTTTTATTATGCTAATGGCAGAAAATACACAAAAAACACCCCCACCCACACCCCCAGACTGCGTTCTACATGCTTACTCACCATGCTTCTTACAATAGCAACAATTTTTTCCTCATTTATGAAATGCTAAAATCAGGGACATTTCCGAGGACAACTTTAGCCAAGAACAGGTCATCCAAAAACGGGGACTATCCCCTGGAATCAGGGACCTCTGGTCACTCTACAGAGCCTCCTTGCTAGTACGGAGCTGATGGTAGGTTGAGACTGAGAGCACTTGGAGGATTCATTAACCTCAGTTGGATGTTCATGTGCTACATCACTGGGGCCGTTGACGTGTTTTACTTGTACACGGCATTGCAGTGTCTGCAGCAACACCAATCATTTTTCTGCTCAAAATGGTCCCATTTCTTCTATGGAAGCTCGCTGATGCTGTATCACTCCCCTTTAAAATGTCAAAATCCTTCACACTGTGATAGTCACTGCAGTGCTTCAACACACGCACACACACCAACTGGACAAGGAGGGTATCCCTCCTGATCAACAGAGGTTGATCTTTGCTGGAAAACAGCTAGAGGATTGACGCACGCTGTCAGCCCTTTTTAATAACATTAGAGCAATCAAAATTTTGCTTGATCAGTGTTATTCTTAATGATCAATTAATCAGTCATCAATTAATCATGCCCATTCCTAGTTTAAACTATATTGTTGCCATAGTTATACTCTTGTTTGTATAGGACTTGGTGACATGGCAGAAAATAATTGTATTCACTAGTTTGATTTCTGGTGACTCAATAGTTTTTCATCTAGAATATTACAGTAGTGGTTAGTGGTGGTAGAGGTAAACTGCTCTCGCTCCAGAAGTGAACGCAGGATGTCTGGTGAAGGGTCTGCTAATCCTGTAATTATATATATAAAAAAAAAAAAACTCCTGAAAACCTCCCAAAGTTTTCAGAGAGAGAGATCTGCATGTGCAGATGCAAACAGCCAAAGTTTTCACTACAAATTTACGAAGACTTTTTACAGCCAGCCCCCAGAAAAATGCTCACCAGAGGTTGAAGTGAGGTCAGACGTGAGAACATGTTATGAAATATTCACTGGTAGCAAGCGGACAAGGGTGATGATGATAATGTGTTGTGATCAGCGCAGGAGGTTAAAACCTGGATGGATTTATAGATGCATAAAAACCTCCTGATTTTACAATGAGAGACCTGCAAAGATACTTGGCATGGAGAGGTTTAAATTTCAGGAGTCTGGATGCAAAAGCGGCTTGTTTATAAATTTGTTTTTCTGTAATGTCAGCACTTTCCAGATGTTTCAGGATAACTAGTTTACCTTATCCGTGTCTATTTTGCCTCTTTGTTTTCACCCTTTATTCCTTATTTTACTGTGCTCTCACAGCTCAAACAGGGTTTTACTGTTGGCACTAACTTCCATCATGCTGGCACACGCACCATTTCCGTCATGTGAGCGGCTGTTTTCTCTCTCTGGATCCAGTTCAATCTTCAGTTTTTGTCATAATTGATTCATCGATTCGTCACTCAGCTATATCACATCAGTGCCAGACTGGACGCGACTTTACTTCCTTGTTAATCATCTCTTTATTGAGCTCGTATTAGCAGGCAGGCTGATAGGCTTTACGAGGCCCTGATGACCTAGGGGTCATCAGATTTTGGGTGGGGCTGTTGCTTTTGTCTTTGTGATCCCTTTGCTCAGTGTGAGACTCCACAAGGCCTCCCTGATAACAGATTAGTCTCACAGAGGCCAAACATGCCCTCTGTTGCTCATTTGAATGCATAATTAACACGATAACAGCCTTTGCTGAACTGTGTGTTGGTATGTTAGAGGGACTGAGGCGAGAAGAGAGGCAGTTTGTGATGTTGTGTTATGTGCTGCATACTGTGCATGAACACTGAGAAGCAGGTCACTGTGGGGGGAAGCTTTAACTCTTTTTTTTATTCATCATAAACTCTGATTAAAGGGACAGTTTTCATCATTTGGTAGAAACTGGTCGGTGTCTGAATGTCAGAACCAATTTTTGACATGTGCATGTAGATTCATTGGTTGCTCAAGCGCTCCGAAAACTTGTAACAGTGGAGTTGCTCTTGTTAATGAAGAGCAGGCAGTACTGTGTGTGTGCTGTTTTGAACAGATGGACCTTGAGAGGAGTAAAGCTGTGTTCGACCACAGGGAGAAATGTTGGCACTGATGCTGCTGCAGGGCTCCCCTCCTGTCCGTCACACACGCTGCTCTCCGGGCTGCAGTGATTCTCATCAAAACAGGATGATCCAGACTGGACGATAATTGTTGCCCCTGTTCCGCTGGTTTGAGATTAAGATGTACTTCTTAGGTCTCAGCTTCTTTTAATTAAACCTTTGTGTCTTCTCTCAACAGGAAGGAGCCACAGCTTGATAGCGTGACCTTTGCCCCGTCGACTCAGCAGTGATGCACTTCTCTGGAGACACCCGCACGCAGATGGATTAAGAGGTGAGTTTCCAGTCCCTCCATGCTTTCATTACCCTGTTTTGTTTTCTTATCTGTGTGTGATGAAACCCTAGAGCTGGTCAGAGCTTTGTGTCGTGGTGCATTGGTGCTGACGGAGGATTGACATTCTGTATATTCAGCTTTCACTGGGAACAACAAGCGTTTGATACGCCTTTTGGAAAGTATCCCACTGCTGATGGGAAGTGGTTGGTTGTTAATGATGCAAAGACAGACCGATGTAAGTGATCTATTTCACAGTCTATACACCAGCTGCTGGAACCTGATCACGCTGGTTTGAGTTTACCTGCAGGCCCGGGGAAACCTATCCGAGGCGGCTGCTGAATATTTCAACAGTGCTGTCAGCTGGCCTGTATATTTTCAGGTTTGGTGTTTCTCAATGTATACTTGATGAATATCACGCAGAGTCTTCGGGGCTAAGGTCAAACACATATCACAATCATCAAACCATTCAGTAGAAGTTTTGGCGCTGTGAGCAGGTGCGAAGTCTCATTGGGAAAGAAAATCATCATTTTAGGAAAGAAAAGCTCTGAAACCTCCTGGTTGACGACTGCGTTGACCTTAGACATTGACACCTGATATTGTGGGGGGGGGGTTTATGAGTGGTCATATATCTCTATTGGGAAATTGGGGGTTTGATCTAAGGTCCCACTGTCCACACTCTTAAGTATCCTCAGGCAAACAATTAACCCCTTATACTGCTCTTATTGGCTGCTTCCGGCAGTATGAAGATAGGATTAGCTTACACTGATGGACGCTTTATACAGCAGCTTCTGCCTCCACTGCATGAATGTGTTGTGAATGAGTGAACATAGTCAGGAGTCTAGAGAAAGAGAGATATTAACATAGTCCATCATCTATTTTACCATTTCACTGAGCTTCAAAACTGGATCGAACCTGCAGCCCTATGACTGACAGCCCACATCCTGTGATGCAGCGTCAGCGCTTCTGCACAGCCGTTAAGATAATATATCCCTGAGCCTTATTATTGCTAACTCACACACAACTCACCAAAAGGATATTAAAAGCTTTCTGGAAATCAATTTAGACCCCACTTTAAGCAAGCCAAAGGAACCCTGTAATAAATCCATGTGGCTGAGGTTGCTGTGTTGCTTTTGAAACATGTGAACCACATTCAAACAGTAAGGTGGTTTCTGTGCAACGCTGACCAAACGAAAACACAATGCGCTCTTTGTGTTCAGAGGAGATTAGATGAAAGTCTGGTTTACTTATTGACTCTGGAACCCAAACCTCAGATAATAAACACTGACCATATCGAGTTACAGTGACACTCGCAGACACTCTTGGCATAGCCAGTCTGCAAATATTACATAACATAAAATCTAGGGTACCAAAAAAAGAGCTAAAAACCTTTAAACATGAGCAGAAACTCAGTTTGGCAGAAGAAAAGATGAGGAAAGACAAAAGTCCTCTTTCTGATGGATAGGTAGGTAGGCGGGGAATTTAAATAATCTACCTTAAACAGCTGATCTAATTTTATTAAAAACACTTAATTCTGCCTGAAATTAAATGAAACACCTCCTGGGCGCTGTCCAATTGCAAACATCAGGTGTTCATCTGCAAGTCGATAAAATGACTCACTGCGATGTGCCATATCAGGAGCTCTGGCTAACACTTCCACTCTGCAGCATAAGGTCCTGTCTAAGCGTGTTTGCACTTCATATAACATAGCAGCCACAGCAGTGGGATTTTCACATCAGGAAACAGGCAGCTATAGTGAACTCAGTGACCTCTTCACCCTGTCAGCTTCCTTATTATCCTCACTCATGTACTGGAGCGCATGTAACGGATCCTTCAGTGGCCGTGACGGCCTGAAAAGGATCAGACGATGGTTGGAAGTCCAAAGAAAAACCATGTCTGGAATGTTCTCTGGCGCATTGCAGCTCGTCTAATCACATCAGCGTGTGAAGAGGCTGATTGTGTGGTCAGCATGCACATGTGTATTCAGGCTTATGAAAGAATAACAAAGAGTCAAGCAACCAGCAGACTTTTCCAAGCTGATAGACACCCAGCTTGTTTAGTTTATCAGTCCAGGTCAGTTAATCCTGACCAAAGTTATCTCAGCGCACTCCCATACTGAGGTCATATCTTGACCTTATAGTTCGACATGCTCCAAGACATCCAGTTCACTCAGTTTGCTCTCGTCTCTGAGTTAGTCTGTGCAATACCAGGGGGAGACGTGTTTATATGCAGCAGGTAATAGTCAGGAACGTGGGTGAAGTTTTCACGCTGAGCTGAGTTTTGCTGCTTTACACCCTAAAAGCACTTGCATGTCTTTACTACATGTTTAATATGACGATCAATGATAGAAAATATCAGGATCTGAACAGCCTGGGTTGTCTGAATGCTGTGAAAAAAACCTCATGTGGTGATTTGTTTTCTTTTCCTGATTGTTTTGGGGTGTGCGAGGTAGAAGAGCTGCCGGCTGATGCTTCCTCGCTCGTCACACAGCACCATGAAAAGATCTCTGTCTTCCCTCAAACACTCAGGAGACATTACCATGGCAGCAGGGTTTACTTTCTATGTGTCTGCTGTTTGGATTACAGCAGCGAAAGTGTGTATAAGAGAGGAGGAGAGGATTCTCAGAGAGGATTTTTGGCTCCTGCTTCCAACACGTGGCTGCCAGTAGATTCTCCTCCTGAGTGAACGGAGACACGGAGACGGCTAAGTGCTGCTCATCTTCAGCTCGGAGCAGGAAGTCATTTGGACAAAATGGGTCTTTTATTGACTGACCCTCTACCTTGACTGACTAGACTCTTCGATCTGAGAGTCTTTGGTCTACTGTTTATGAAGGATGAAAGGAAGAAAAATGTTTGATGTTTGTGGTCATCACTCAGCTGATACCCTTTTATACCTTTTTTACGTCTGTCTGCGTTCAAGGTCTAAAATGAAGTATGTTTCACTCTGTTATTGTGGTGTCTGTCTTTCACTCTCCAGTCTACTTTCTTGCCAGTTCTCCTAGTCTTTGTTTTTTCACCATCTCTCAGTCCTTGATTTCAGAGTCAGACAGTTTGGAACTTTTTCCTAAACATCTGCAAAGAATATCAGGTAATCTCTGCACACAATGAAACATGCAGTTTTAATCGCAGTAAGTTCCATCAAGGTGAACGTTGTCGCTGTCCGATGAAAAACACGTATCTGCACTTTTAGCGATCTGGACTTTTTTTCAATACATGCATGGTCCATAATCTTCCCTAACAACCTGTAGTTTTGGGTATCCAAATGACTGATGATAGACATTTTATAACATCATCCTTTTAACAAGTGTAACATTGGGTGTCGGAAGTGTCAACAAAGCACGTATCTCCCAGTCTGGCCCTGCGTTGTCGTGTCAGCCAACAGACTTTACACTGTGACAGGTTCATTTCAGTCCAGGGTAATTTTATGCTAATGTCGCCACAACTACTGATGCTGACCTAAAACCTTTTTCTAACTATGACGGTGTTGCTTACCTGTAGGTTGAATTTTTTTAAGCCAAAGTTTATCCCCAGAGGCAAAGCTGCTGCTGTTTTCTCTTTCACACTCGGTCGAGGACCATAGTGCATGTTAAATTGAGAGCCGCGACTCAAAAAGGTTGGCAATCAATGTGCTATGTGCAAATGTAGGATAGCCGGCTATGAATAGTTTATCAACATAGTGGGACATAAACAGGATACTTGAAACTTGTAAATAACTGGAAGTCATTAGAGCGCATTATGTAAAAAAACACGTGTCCACTATCACTCACAATGCAAAGTACGTTAGTCCGTTTAAAATATCAAACAGGTCACTGATGACTGTGTAAATATAGATTTTTATTTTGGGTCCTAATTGTGTCTAATTACAATGTTCTGGGTTGATTTTGAAAAGTAGTCTATGAACAAATTTTTTTTTAATTTCTGAAAAAAACACAATTTTTAGAAATACATGTTTTTAATTGGACAGTGACAATTTGTAACTCTACTTTCCTGTCGAGACCCGTCAAAAAGAGAGGCCTGCAGAAACCAATTAATGATTTAATTCAAAACTAGAGAGTTTAATTTTGCTCAGTGTTTAACAAACTTTAAAATCTAAAAAAGTACAGCTTAAAGTTATTTCTGTCAAAATTCTTCTTCAAATGTTTTAAAAATACTCAAACCTTTACATCCACAATTAAAGCTTGTGGCTGGCCTTCTGTTCTTGTCCCAGTTTATAAGCATCTTCCTCCAGGTGTCATGCTCCCTTTAAGCTTGTTCCTACATGGTCGTTCCGCAGATTTGACTCACAACATTTTGTAATAATCATCATGTGTTTGAGAGTGGTTAACACGATGGACAAACTCTTCCTCTTGTACGATGCAACAGTTTTATATTTTCACTCTTTTTTTCCTTACTCTGTTCATTTTAAAGCATGGTGTGGAAACTGTAGAGCATGAATAGGTGCCATTTTTAGTCCAATGGAGAATATATTGTACATGAAAGCGAAAGACCCTAAGAAGTTGGATTTTGTGCATATCTAGTTGGCTTTAAAGGTATTTTAAAAATCCAGTTTCAGTTGGATTTGAGCCTAATCTGGTAGATGTGGGTTTCAGGAGCCATCAGCTCTGAGAATGGACCATTTTATCTTGTGCAACAGTTTTCAGTCACATCTAGGACACCTCATGATCCCCTGACAGAAAGTCAGACATGTTTGAGGTTTCTTTCTTCCACCTACTGATTGTCTATCACCTCAGCGATGGTGACCAATGAGAACACAGAGCACCATGCAACCCACAAATACACAGTGTAAATGAACTTCCCGCCCACTCCTCCTGTTCTCTACAAAAGGTCATCCGGCGTCCTGCTGGACTCGTATCAACACACCAACAGGTCAGAACAAGGTCTCTAGTCCTGCAGCAGCCTCCGGTTTGGGCCGCTGCTGGCAGTTCTGTATTGGATGTGGTGAGTGTGCAGTTTTTGTACAGTGGCAGCTCCATCATAGTTTACTTTAATGTTAATGTATGCAGAACTCAGCATGAAACCCTCTTTAGATGGGAGCGGGAGGAGAGGGATGCTGTTGTGCATTAGCCTAAAGGGGAAGGGAGGGGAGGTAACAAGCTAGAGGAGGGCTTTCTTGTCTCCAGTGGGAGAAAGATGAGAGGCAGAGAGAGGGGATGTATAGATAGACAGCGGGGGATGGTGTCAGGAGAAAGACTGCTTGGGTGGGGTACCTTGTCCTCACAAAGCCTATCATGCATACATTATCACTGAGTCAGGCTGGAACGACTTATAAAGACTTGAGAGACAATACTTAGGCCCCAACTACACAAATGCGGATATATTTCAAACCGCACATATTTCCGATTTGGCCTTCCTACCACACCAAAACGGGAGTTTGGAACACTCAAACCAGATAAATCTGAATCCGAAAAAACAAGTGGAGAAATAAAAAAATATCCGTATAAGTGGATTCGTGTGGTTGGACTTTTACGGATCGATGACGTCAAACTGCAGCTCGCGCATTCGAATTAAAAAGAAATACAACAACAACGATGGCGGACATACAGGGTATTCTTTACGTTTGTTTTGCCCTTTTTAGGGCTAATTTCAGCCTTGAAAATGAACCTTGTTTTATACAATTACATCCACCAGTCAGCCAGCTCACAGAGGCGTCTGCTTTGTTATAGCCGCCACACTGTCACATGGACCCGACGCACTAGCATAGCTCCCGCAAACAATGCATGACGCATCACGCTGTTACGATTCATCGGCCAATCAGGTAGCTTTGTTCCTGAATTTTTTTTAAGCGGCACCAGATAGGATTGAGTTTGAAGGCTACGTGTGGACGCAGATATTTTTGAGAACTAACACGTGTGGACAGATACATTTATTTAGACGGGAGTACAAAAATATCCTGATAAATAAATATCTATATACGTGTAGTCCGGGCCTTAGTTGGATGATGCAGCGTATTCAAGTCTGCAGTGGATCCTTGAATTCTTGTTAATTTTTGTTTTGTGTCTCAGTCACAGGGGGAACTCTCTTGACCTTAAGTTTCCTCTGCTATTTTAATCCATGTTGCATCAATAGTACAAGTAATGTGACTGAACTGTGCTCCACTGTTTGTTGTCACTCTTTGAACATCCTCTGTGGGGATTTTATTAATAACTTTCCCTCATTGGCTCTATTCTCGGGAGACTGGAGGTGGCGAGGTAAATGCTGCCGTTATCAGCTCCGCACCGCCTGCAGTCTGTGCACCATAAATAACAACAAAATAAAAGAGTCTGAGTTAAAATCACAAGATTGAATGACATGTATATACATTTCAGACATGATTCATTTGATGTTGTTCAGGGGGGATGACGCTGCTCTCATGCACAGCGATTTCAGCGGGTAGACTGTGTTCGAGTTTGGAGCTGGGGGATGAAGTGGTAATGACAATTATCATAATGGAACTTTTATTAAAGTTATAAAAAATGCAATCAGGATAACATTATATCCTAATTCAGAATATGATCAAACTAGGCTAAAAACCAGGATAATGCTATGTCCATGTAAACACTCTCACTGTTTAATTAAAAGTTTAAGTCAATGGTTTGTTTGCAATTTTTAATTGATTTGTTATTTGTTTAATGGAAAAACGACTTTTTAAAGTCTGTTTCTGCAACAGCTACCTTGCAGGATTTTTCTTCCCTGACATTAAAAAGTTCATTTGACAGAATGCCCCTTTTAATATTTGGCTTTGTTGGAATTTGCTGTCATAATCCAGGTTTTGAACCCAGATTAACACATTACATTTGAATGCAACAAACTCCAAACTGCTTCTAACTGGAATGATCCACAACTCGGTGCACGGTGAAAAAGGAGCTGCAAATGTGGGAGGACTCTGTGTGTGTGTGTGTGTGTGTGTGTGTGTGTTTGCATTTATTTCCACCGTCTGTGAGAGTGGGTGGTTGTGTGCTGCTTGGGAAAGACTTTGAGCACCAAGCCCTCCCCTTCTCGCTCGTTCGCTCGCCCTCTCTTTCTCTTTCCCTCTCTTTCCTCCTCCCTCTAGCAGCTGTTTTCCTGCCTTCTCTGGGAACTGGAGCCAGGCTGTTTCCCCTCCGATCTTTGCGTCACAAGCAGGAACTCACCGACTTACCGACACAAACACACACACTCACACACACACACACACACACACACACACACACACACTTCTCTCTCTTTCTGTCTCTGCCCTGTCCCACTCTCGTCTGGCTGTTGACTGCGTGTTGACCTCATTTTGGACTACAGACTGAGGAGCAAGTATTCCCACTCCTCTACTTGGCTGCTGTGATAGCGTGTTCACGTTGCTGTGTGAGAGCCGCCGGGCTGTTGGGAGAAATGCTTTCATGGTAAGATGTTTCTTCCCACCTCAGAGACCACTCCTGTGTCTTGACCTCTTGTTTGTGCTGCTTCCAGTCGGGGACTTTTACGAAGGTTTCCCGTCTCTCAGTTGGCAAGATTGTTGCTGAGCCTCTGCCGGATTGTCGGCTCTCTAAAGTCTTTACAACTTCGCTAAAGTATCCTGCTGTCTCGGAGCAGTACCCTTATGAGTGCTACAAAATGTTAAATCCGCAGGGTCTCCAAAGTGAAACTGTGCTGGGGTTGAAAAGTTCTGGTTTTGGTCAGGGCTGTTATTGTTTCTGTGTGGCTTCACTTCATATTCTCCTCATGCCCAATCGTCACATCTCTACTTGTTTGGCTCTGCATGCAAAGTGGAGAAACTGAGTCAGGTGACAGGTCCAGTAGGTCTGTAGCTGCTAGTCTGAGCCCTTCAGTGTAGCGTTTCACACACGTGAGTAACCGGGAGGCGGGACAGTCACACACTTACCCATGATGGACGACTTTGTGGATTGTGTTTCAGCGCTGACACACCAGGCCTGTTAATCCCAACTTGTAATTACAGTAGGCAGAGCCAGCCGTCATCTGATTGAGCTGCTGTGTAAACACGGGTCGCAGCAGAACAAACAATACCTCATTTGTCGAGCAAGTTTTAAGCCGTCTTTGAAGTGTTGCAAGGATAGAAATCAGAATATGTGATTCCAGCGACCTGTTTGAGGGAATATACTGTGGCTTTGTTTTTCGCAGGAGGCTGCAACACAAACTACAGGATAATTTTAAGATGTTTGAAAGGATGAGAGAGGATCATTAAACTCCTATTTTAATAAGTATTCCATGTTTATTGAACTTTTTGTGTTGTTGGAATTTGACTCTCTATTCCCGACACTGTCAGAAGTTTAAGGCCTGTGGTTTTTGACCTGCACGTCAGGTAATACGTCATAAAGTTTTGGATTGACAGGAAAAGATCTCAGTGCTGTCTGGATCAGCCCGACAACTCTCTGAGTAGACCTCACGGTGCTCAGAATACTGCAGACAGACTGACTGATGAGTGAAACATCCCCTGTTTAAAGCAACGTTTCACCTCCAGGCGACAGGCGGTAAATATAAACCTGAATGTTATTTATGAATGTGGACCAAATAAGAGCCCAATATTACTGGAAATTAATGTTTTAAAAACTGTCTGTAACTCTGGAAATCCTGTAATCTTCATCATTAACAGTAAATCTGCTTAAATGCTGCAACAGTAGTTTTTGTCTCATTTTGCTTTGCTTCATTTTTTTCATTTTGCTGGGATTTAGAAAGCATGCATTTATGCAGCATGATGAAAATCAACCTGTATTAGTGTTTCGTGCTTTTTATTTTACCGCAGGCTTCTGAAACTGTCCTTGCTCCCACCTCCGCTTTCGCGCAGCAGCCCCTAACCCCTCAGCCTCCCTCTGTTGGTTCCTGTACTTGTCGCTTCAGCGAATTGGCATCTTAAAGACTGTAGCATGAATCTAAACGTACAGATAACCCCCTTTATAAAGCAGGTCTCAGTAATTATAATATCTTGGTTGGTTTTCTAAGAGTGTCTCTTTACTCCCCGCTCCAAATAAAAACTGTCCTTTTTGTCAGCTCATGGTTCAGTGAAGCACAGATGACAGACGTAGATGCTCCTGCATGTGTCGTCAGTCCTCCCATCTGATGTTGCAAAGCTAATGTGCAGATAATAGGGTCTGTGTGTGTGTGTTGGTGATACTTCAAAGCTGCTGCATTACCAGTCTGTCTTTGTTTGCGCTAAAGTGGAGTGAGTGTGTGTGTACATGTGACTTAGCTTCTTACTGAATGAGGGTTGCTTGCGTGAAGACCGTCTGTGCGTGTTTGATATGCTAACAATGGTTGTTCCTTTTGGACTGTTTATATTAAACTCCAATATCATGTGCTGAGGCCCTGAAATTAAAGCTCCAGTGAGGAACTTTTGTTGTCACTTTTGTCACCCCTGTGGACAGGTCTTACCTTTTTTTGCCTTCTGCATGTTTAAGTAGAATCTTCTTACAAAAAAGGGTTATTCCGCAGACTTTTAAAAGAATAACCTAAAACTGCCCTCCTTGCACCATAGTCAGGCTTTAAAAATAGCAACATTTAAATTGCCAATCTTATCGCTGATGGTCGTGTTCACTTTTGTAAGTCACAAATGTGAATCATTATGCATTTGGGTCTCTCTCATGAGCACAGAAAACCTCCTCAGAAGAGCTTTAAGTTCTGTTTTTATTATTGCATTTGAAAGGTTATATTTAATGTCTCGAAAGGCCCCTTTTAAAACGTTAATAAAAGAGTTATTTTAGTTTTAATTTTCCATTGTTAGATGGAGGTCGTAAGAAAAGGTAATGTCAGTGGCCATAGCTGAAATACTATGGCTTAAATATAGCTTAAATACTATCGTAGCTCAAACATATCCTAAATACTATCCTAGTACTTCTTAAGTGTAGCAGCATTTTACCCTCAACTTTACAAAGCCCTTTGAAGCAGATCTTTCTCACTTTGCTAGACTGCTGCTGCTGATGCATTAGGTGAGATATCCTATACATAAAAAGAAGTGTACACCCCCCTCTTTCTTAACTGCAGAGCGTGAGGCGGTACATCCTCAACAAAATGTGCAATAGTGGTACATGCTTTCCACAGGTGGAGAGGAGAGTAGGGAGAGGAGCAGGAGCACTAATGAGCTTATGAATGCTAAAAAGTGAGAGACATGTTCCTGAACCATAATAAAATCCAAGCCCCAGCCTGGATGTTATAAAAGATGCCCCATAAAAGCTTAGGGAGACCAGCTGATTTATTAGATCAGCAGCCTGTGATAAAATGTGAGCGATAAAGAGCTCAGATCCTCCAGTACTTTACAACACAGTGAAATCTGACATTTAATTTAACAAGTATTTTCACCAAAATGAAGCCAGAGCTCTCAAAGTAAAGTGATGCATTGGTCTGTACATATGACTATTAAAAAAATGTAAATAAAGCATAAAGGAGCGTAAGTTAACTGATCAAAACAAATCTGGTTGGGAGAGATGTAATAGGTTTGCTTTGTGCACTTCTAAAAGGGCACTTATAAAAAAAGGACAATACTGACTGTCCAAACTTTTGACAGTGGAAATCCAAATATTTTCCTCTCCCCACTCTGCCGCCTCCAGACCAAAACTTCACAATCAGTTTTTAAACGGAGATGCTGACAGATTTTCTTTTTACTTCTTGACTTCGAAAAACAAACACTGTAATCCCCAGTAACTGATGCAGAAAGTCAGCAAAACCTGATCTGTTTTTCTTTGTCATCTGTGAATCAAATTGTGATTAAAGGCATTTTTTTTTCCTTTATTGAAACCAGTTACTTAAGTAGAAGTTTCTGTTGTGATATTTTAACCTCGTAGGACACTATAAAACCAGGTCTTTGACAGCCCTAATGCCCAGAATGAAAAACTAAATCTTGATCAGTTTAATAACACAATAATTGACTTGAACTCCAGCAATAGAAGAGAAGCTTTAAGAGCTTTAATAGCAGCAGATTGACTCCTAATTTAGTAACAAGTGCACGGTCTCTGCTTGGCTGGATTGCAGACATCTTTATATGACATCGTATATACTGGAAATTAATCGGTTGATGTAACTCTGGAGGGCAGATCTGAAACCGAAGTGATTTCTCTCATCACATTTCCCCTCCCGTCTCCGCCCGATCACCATGAATCATTCCTCTCTGTCCTGCTTTCTAATTGTTTGACCTGCAGGTTCCATTCCCTGATGGGTTAGCAGTGCGCTTGAACAGCCACCAGCTAAATGATGGCGGCGAGGCGTCGTATTTGTCATGTATGTTGCATGTACACGTTCCGAAATGTGAGCCGGGCGGTCGATAGCAGCTGAGATTAGTCTGTGCCTGTGACTGTGTTGTGCTGTGTGATAAATATTCCTGTCATTTGTCCGAAAATGGTCTCATGCCTCATGTCAGCTGCTGTAAATTAATTATTATGGAAATGCAGAGCCCGTCACCCTTCATGGCTCGTGGTCAGGAGATAGTGTTCTGCAAATAACTTCCTCTGCTGGGAGGCGTGTATGTTGTATTTTCAGGCTGGTGCGTGGTGTTGTCAAAGCTGTTACCCATTTATCACGTTGTCGTTCATTATATTTCTATCTTGACCTCAAGTCCCCTCTCACCTCAGCAATTCAAAAGCGGAAACTAAGGCTTCGCCCAGTCAAAGTCGAACTTTGACAGTTGTACAGTCATGTTGTTGCTGTGTGACCTGAATGAAGGGTCACAAACAACCTTATGTTGGTGGTTTTCAACTAATCTAATAGTGTACTATGAAATCAAGTTTTTGCTTGATTAATTAAACTCAGTTATGTTATGTTAAATACATCAGCCACAGGTCCTTCTTTTTGAATCAAAGGACTGGGCCATAATCCGAGAGGAGAAGTTTGACCTAAGACAAGCTGCAGCCAGAACTGGAATTGAATTAGGGGTGGGAGAAAAAAATTGATACAACATAATATTGCGATATTTTGCCTTGTGATATATCTTATCATCTCAATGACGAAGTATCGTTTTTTTTGTTTTTTTTTCAAATTAACTGTTTACGTGAAGTCAAATCTCTGATAATGGAAAATAATATCAACTGTTTGTCCAGTGAGGTTGGCAGAGGTGACATCATAGAGCAGGAGAAAGCTAGTGCACAAAATATAGCAGCACCTGGGGAAAGACATTAGGAATGCAAGCAGAGCACAAATGAGAGTGTTTGAAAAACACAATAATATCGTATCGTGGCCTAGGTATCATGATAAAAACGTATCATGGGGCCACTGGTGATTCCCACCCCTAGATGTAATATGCAAATCTGATTTAGGAGGAAAAAATATATATACATAATTTTGTTTTATCATTATTTCTGCACATTTTCTGAACTTGCAGATGGTACCTTAAACATTGCAGTACCTTCATATTTCAGCACGACAATGACAAACCACTTTCTGCAGGGATTACAACAGCATGGCTCTGTAGTAAAAGAGTCCTGGCGCTGAACTGACCCTCTTATGTGTCCCCCATTGAAAACAGATTAAACTGTACTTTGGTTCCAAAAAATAGGACAGAGGAGACCCTAAACTGTTGAGCAGCTAAATCCTTCATCAGGCGAGAATGTGAGAACTCCTCTTATACATGCATTACATTTACGTCTTTGTCCATTTGTTCCAGTCCATTCTGTAAACACACGCACGCACTTCCCCTGGTGGGCCAGTCCCAGGTTCTCTTCTGTACTTTCCCTGGAAGAACCATGAGGAGTCCTTTCCTGAGAAACTGTAGGGGAGGCTGAAAAACATTGAAGGGACTGCATATAAAACAGAGCAGTGGAGGATTTGTACTGTACTGTACTGTACTATACATCTGGAACAGCTTCTCATGTCTTCTGGGAAACTCTGCGTGTGTTTGGAAGTGGCGTGGGGCTCAGCTCACTGTGTACGTACACTCCACATGTTCTTATAGGGAAAATATCAATTGCATCACATTAGTTGGCTTGGAAAAAGAAAGTGTAACTTGTATGGTTGTATTCAGCCAAAATCAGCAAGTTTCTGCAAAGTCCAGCCCTGTCTACTTTAATGTTTAATCACTGGAGTGTCGTATTAAAAAAAGGCACTCTCCTCTGAATAGTGGTGTTAAATATGCATGCTTTGCTGTAAATGGTAGAATCCGCATTAGTTGGCATTGGTTTGAAATTCAAACAAAGCCTGATGGGGTGGTCTCTGATGGGGACAAATCTAAGTAATGAGTGCAGTTAATTCCTGCAGCTGTCAGCGCCGTTGTTGTGTAATGAGCTAGCTCACATGTGAAGCCAGCTGTTATTACAGTTACAGTACAGTTTGACACTTGAACACCAAAACAAAAAGATGCTTCACACACGAGGAAATTCATAAATGTGTGTTTGTGTGTGTGTGCACGCTCTGGACTGACAGCTGAAGAGAAAAAACTAGTCCTGCAGTAAAGCCGATTTGGTCCATTATTTCTCCTCCTCTGTCATTTTCCTTTCTCTCTGCAGCTTTGAAGGGAATCCAGCTCTCTGTTGGCCAAAACTCTGCCTGTGTTCATGCTGCTGTCTGTGTTTTATAAGTTTTAAAGATTTCCTCTTGTATAAAAATGCGTATGGTCTTCATCAGTGTTGGATAAACGCTCACCTGACTTTGATAATGTAAGCTGGAGCACTTTCTAACGTACGTATCAGTGACAGAGCAGCTGTTTGTGTTGTTGTGTCAGTAATAAGCCAGAGTTAAACTTCATCAGGCTTTTGTTTTGTGTGTTTTCAGGACTGTGGTTCCCCCTGGCTGAAGCCAGCCTGCATCCCAACATATTGCACCACCCAGGGCCTGCTGTGTCACCACTGCGCCCATGAGGTAACCTCAGGACTCACGGCCCCCTCATTACCACCCTCGGTCTGTCCATCACCCTCCCCCTCTGTTCCTTCCTCCCTCTGACCCTCCCAGCCATGGGCCAGAAGATCTCTGGCAGTATCAAATCTGTGGATGTTCGCGGAGAGCCGTCGTACCGCCCGGTGCGCCGTGAACTGAGGGGCCCTGATTTCTGTCGGCCCCCTAGACTGGATTTACTACTGGACATGCCACCAGCCAGTACTGAGACTCAGCTTCACCACGCCTGGAACCCGGATGACCGGTCTCTCAACGTCTTTGTCAAAGAGGACGACAAGCTGACATTTCATCGGCACCCGGTGGCACAGAGCACAGACTGTATCCGAGGGAAGGTGGGCTACACCAGGGGCCTCCACGTTTGGAGGATCCACTGGCCGGCCAGACAGCGAGGCACACATGCCGTTGTGGGCGTGGGCACTGCTGAGGCGCCGTTACACTCTGTAGGCTACACTGCATTGGTCGGCTCGGACTCTGAGTCCTGGGGCTGGGACCTGGGTCGAAACAGACTTTACCATGATGGAAAGAATCGTTCGGTTTCCTCGTCGGTACCCACATACCCTTGTTTCCTGGAGCCAGATGAGTCGTTTGTGCTCCCGGACTCTCTCACGGTGATTCTGGACATGGACGAAGGAACTCTGAGCTTCATGGTGGACGGACAGTATCTGGGAGTGGCTTTTAGAGGGCTGAAAGGAAAGAGACTTTATCCCATCGTCAGTGCTGTTTGGGGGCACTGCGAGGTATCAATTCGCTACGTCAACGGACTTGATCGTAAGTGGCTCACACGAACACACACATAAACTCACAAAAAGACACACTTTAAAGTTATTATTGTTTTATTTGGCTTCAAAATTTTATCAGGGATTCTGTAGGTTAATGTAAAGTCTTTGTATATGTGCTGAAATAATAGATCCGAATGCGAAACTAAAGTAGATCTAATATTTGAATCTCTGTGAAGGCAGGATCATCTCAAAAAGGAAGCTCAAAATATGCAGATTTGTGCCTGGTTTGGCACGATTCTTGCATCACTGCATTAAACTGTGTAGCAGCAGATGAGGTTGGTCATTTTTTCCTTGTTGCATAAATAATCATGAACAGGTTTTACATCTTGACCTGCCCCCTAAAGCCCTAACTGCCCTGCATGAGGCAAGCTCTGTATCCTCCAGGCTTGTTCCTTTTTTCCAAGAGTCTCCGACTACTCCATTTATCTGAGGAAAGCCCTGACTGGTTCCTCTTCTGTGTAATAAGCGTGAAATATGTGGAGTTTTAGGGTTTCGAAAGCTCTATCCTCCGGCAGTGCTGGTGTGGCTGCTTTCCAAAAACTTCCACTCAAGTCTTTTGCCGTCCAGAAATGTCAAGGATTTGATGTTTAGGGCAAGACTCTGGAAACTTTACCAGCAGATGTGTCTGTTTTTTTTTTTTGTCCGAGAGCACAGAGAATAGATATACAGCGCACAGCTCTGTCTGCACTGATCTATAAAAAGCCCACAATGAGAGGGACTGGGGCTTTGTTTACCAATAGGAAGCAGCTTACACATGCCCGCGGTGCACTATTTCTAGTCTGCTTTTCTCTATCGCTTTTTAACACACACTTTCAAGTCCTCAAGTCTGTCTGCACCCTCAGAGGGCAAACCAGACCACTGTATTCAATTCTCTGGTATAATTAGAATATCTGTTCCCCCACCAGTGTCCTTATGTCCCCTTTTTCATGCGTCTCTCTGCTCCGCTGCTCTTTTCCATTAAATGTCATCCTTCCAACTAGTTGTTCTCTCCATCCAGTCTGCCCCTTGGATTGCGTAATAGCCCTCAGTCCTCCCTCCAGCTCCAGTCTGCATGATGCATAAAGACCCAAGGCGGGCTGGAGGCGGTGCCGACAGTGTGGCATGGACACCATGTCCGTGGCTGCGAGCCATGTGTGTTTGTGTGTGTACTTGCGTGTTTGTATTTATGGGTAGGAGGACAGCAGCCAGCAGAGGAGGAATCCTGGAACATGTCCCAGTGTGCCTCGAAGCTCAGCGTCTGGCCTTGCTCGGTGGGAAGCGTCAGGTTAGGTGTGTCTATATGTGTGAAGCAGCTTACATGCACATTATTTAGTGTCCCACATTCATGCTTCATCATTACAGAGAGAAAAACTAGCGATTGGGTATTAATCTCTATCCCTTGAGCTTTTCTGAATGTGCTTCCCGGTCAAAATACGTTTTTAACGCTTCAATATGAAGACAGCCGTTATAACTATTCAGCTTACAAGTGAGTTTACACGATTACTGCTATCTGCTCTTACAATTTGAATCCGTCTGATCTCTTCGAATTCTGTGTCATCTGTTTTCCAGCTTTGAAATCTATGCACATTAAAAGTCACGACTTAACTGAACAGTTGTCTGGGTCCCTCTGGTTCAACTTGAAATAATCTCACAGACAGACAGAAGCTGTTCCCACATTAATGCGTAATTTTCCTATAAAAAATATGAATTTTGCACAAGAGGCTCCTGTCTTTTACGGCCCCCAGTCCTGATTTCTTTTTAACACAAATTTTTAAGAGCCTTTCACCTGCTCTTTATTTGCTCCACTAAACAATGTTGCCAGAAAAGGACCCTTGTTTCACTGCCATACCAGTTTCATGCACCATCGAAAAACACATGAGAGACATGAGCATGTGTGAAGCATCTGCTGACAGAGTGCAGTCAGAATCAATGGAGACGTGGCGGTTTGATTGGGGGGAAAAAGGTGTACACTCCCTTTTAGAGTTCCAATCACATCTGCATCTGTATCCTTTAAACTTCATCCTCTATATTTTTAGTTGATTTGTGCATAGAATGAGATCAGACAGACAGAAATACAAATCTACATCCAAGTTGCTCAAGTGGGGTAAAAGAAACCTTGAGGAGCTCATGAAGACAAACCACGAAACTCTGAAATTAAATCGCATTGACCTGACCCGTCCAAATATTCATCTTATTTTGAGAAATGTCAAGCCAAAATTGTCATTACGAGTTCCTCGAAATGCGAATTAAGTCTTATCCCACTCATTACAGCCAATAAAGTCCTTGTTATAACAGTCCTCTCTGCAATGTTAGCCATGGCTAATGTGTGCAGGGACTATAAAAGAAGTACATACAGACAAATATGCTGCAAAAATATTCAACCATTACTGCCTCCACACACCAAACGCGAGTGAAATCATTTGCACAAATTAATTACATGTTAAGTCAATGCAAAGACGCGATTAGACGCTCCTACTACTCTGGCGGCGCAAATGACTGGGCGGGAGTTAAAAATGTCTCAACTTTAGCGGATATTCACGTTGCAATAACTACTCCGCACGAAAGTTGCCGGGTGACGTATGAAAACGGACGGTTGTTCACTGGTATGTAAAATGGAGGCCAAACTGGTCGTGTCGGTGTACGGGTGCCCCGAATTATATGATACTTTTTTTTTCAATTACCGAAATCAGAATAAATAGGAGCTGCGTGGAGGCAAGTGAGTGAGGAGGTCAGATTACCTGGTAAATTGTTAAAAACCTTCGTCTATCACTTGTTCCCACCGGTTGAACTGGCATGATTACTGTTGAAATTAACATAAACAGCTATAAACGAGTGAATAAAGCGAGTAGATACTGTTGGTCTTTTACATCTGACAGTTTGGGAAAATGTGCTTTTGCATCATTTTTAAGGATATGTCTGCTCAGTACACTTAAAGTGCACATCAAACAAAGCAGGTTCAGTGGATTAACACCAGTAGTTTCACGTATTCTGAGAGTCACGTGTCATTATGGAAGATTTAGTACTTTTTTTTGTTTGTTTCCTTTTTCACTTTATTGTTGATATCTTATTCTGAATATCGTTATAACTGCAAACAATGTTGCAGTACTACTGTGTTTTCAGCTGGAAATGTTTAAAGAGCTCCTCCTGACAGAATGCACATGAGAAATCAGTGATTTCAGGCATACGGCACTTTTCCATCTTATTACAGCAAAGGCGGCTGCATCAGTATGTATGCTTTGAGATGACAGGACGCCCCTATTCCCAGATCTTCCTCCTCCTGTGCATCTTCTTAATGTAGATTTTCCCTTTTTTTCACTGCTGGTGTCCTGATCTTTTACTTGTCTCTGAGTCTATTCATATTCTTCTGTCGCTCTCCTCCCTCCTGCTCACACTCGTTCATTCTTGATCTCTTATTCTCAGAAGAGAGAGGAGATAAGTCTTGGTTTCCTCCCCCGTTCTGTCCTTCAATGCTCTGCTTTTAAGTCGTTTTCTCATCTCCTCTTAAATCCTTTGGCTCCCAGTTCTGGAGACACTTGGAAGTGAACCCCACTGAGATGTGATTTGATCAGATTTTGACTCTTTGTGCTACTTGTATCTCTGTCTACAAAACAGAGGAGGTCCTGGAGCAAGCTGTCCTCTCTTCATCTTTTTGTCTTCGTCAAAACAAGCCGTGTGACGCAGAAATTACCCGGCGAGCCTAATGACAGCATGCTGATCCAAGCCCATTTAAACCTGAACAAGTTAGACCAGTGGAGGGAAGCGTCTCACACACACACGCAAACACACACACTCACACACACACACACACACACACACACACACACACACACACACACACACACACACACACACACACACACACACACACACACACACACAGCCGTTGACATGCCTCCCCTCCCTTTTTGCAAATGAACCCTATTTGACTCCTACTCTCTTTGTGTTTCATCTCCTCCCTCCTGCTCTCCCTTTCTTCTCTTTCTTTCTCTCTTCTCATGCTTTTCAGCTATAATCCTTCCTCTCTGTGTTTACACGCCCCGTTGTTGGTGACAGGTTGCCGTGGAGATGGTTAAACTGACTTCTCTGTGGATGGTTAATCGTTGACCAGGCAGCTTGCTCGCTAGCTTCCTGGGCAAGGATGTAAACGGGATGTCTTCGTTCAGCATGCCTGAAGTTCAGAGTTGTAGGAATCTTCAAAGCACAGATGTTCACTGTAACTTCTGTTAAAGCGTCACATATATTAAGATTGAACTCCTACGCTGCTGCAGAAAGCAATCATTGAGTTAAAAATTAACCAGTCAGAGCTGTTTTTCTTGTTCAAACAGGAAGCAGCTGAACATTTATTTATCTGCAGCGACTAAAAAGCAAAGTTCTGGTTGGACTTCAGGACCTGTTTAATATTCAACCCTGAGAGATTTTTTTTTTTTTTTTGCCAGATTTTGACCCATGTCTGATTTTTTTTTTTTTTCATGTAAAGTATCAGGAGCTGTTGTCATGGCAACAAGTCATTTCTCTCAAACATGCAGAAGTGCTTCATGACTAGAGTTGAGAAAACTGTGATTATTGAGGTAGGGGAATCTTTTTTATTGTGTCACCATGGTGGGCGATTTGAAGAAGTTTAGGCTGAGATTTAGAAAGAGCAGAGTTGTCAGTAGAAGTGCTTAAATCACATAAAAAAACATTAGTTTTCTGCAGTTATAATGTAGTATTTTTAAACCTTATTGAAGCCGTATTTACAATGATATATTTTCATTAATCATAGCATTCACATAATACTTTTTTAATCACAAAAACTACTGGTAATGCATACTCCTACATAGGTGGTGGCGTTTGATCCTTATTTGAAAGAATGTAGCTGCGGCAAGCTAAGGAGATGGTAACAATCAAGTTACCTGAAACCCTTATTTCTTGCTGATTTAGATGCAACCTTGTGAATGAGATATTAATTGATTGTCTTTTAACAGTGAAAGTAGACTCCTCACGAATATTTACAGTAGGGAAAGTCACTGAGGCTACCTACCTCCTCACAGCAGATTCAGACTTTAAAATATCACAATATAGAAAGTTTCTGTCTCATTTGCTTCAGTACATTAGAGAAATATATCACTGCTAATTTCCGTCTGTTTTATTTCCAATCAAAAACTCCTCACTGGAGCTTCAAGATCATAACAATGCTGCAGATCTCACTAGAAGTGAGCTAAATATGAGTCTGAACACACCCTGCATTATTTTCTGTAAAATCTTTGCATGTTGGTGAACTTTGAAAACTTTTAAAGACCTTTTCAGACCTTAAGTAACGTCTGGAAATATCATCAGTCAGGATCTACACATTGCAGAGATGTTTGAAGGTGAAAAACATACACAAAATTATTCTCCCAGCTTTGTAACTGAGAGTCTCTTGCACACATGTGTGCAGCCCTGCCACGCTGTCATGTCATACTGAAGCTGTTAACGTTAACATAAGTGACCATAGTGTGAAAGTCATGAAGCCACTGGGATGAATCAGGAAGCGAACGGTCAGCCTGGTAAAGTAAGTCCGGATTTTTTCTCGCACGAACCGGCCATCTGTCGTCTGAACAGGACTGATACTGTGTTTGTGTCAGAATTTAATCTTTTCTCATGTTTTCAATCTCACCCTGATCAACCTTTTCCAGACGGAGAGTTCAGTTTGGAGCAGCGGTTATTAAAATTCAAAGCCAGGGAACCTGAAATACTGAATGATTGAATAAAGTCTGGTCTGTATTATAAAAAAAGATTTTTATTGTTAGGCGTTATGCTTTTTCACACTGCTTGAATATATATTTTCCAGCCTGTTCCTGTGTGAATAAAGCGTTCCTGCCACATTGACTCCTCCAGTCCCAAAACGACTCCGTACACAGAATTGAAGATCTACAACTTTTATTTCCTTAAAGCCCTCAGGGAGATGATCAGACACTGAAAGCTGATGTTAAGGATTTATAGTGAATCCAAAAGCAACATTAGAACTTCAAAATAAAAGCACCCTATCAAAAATAAAAGCATGCCAAAAAAGAAGCTCCAGTCCTGATAAAGAAGTTCATTGACTTGTTTTACACTGTCCATGATCCACATGGTTGCTGATGAATTTGTGAGTTATAGTGAATACACACACATACACACAGATGGTATTAAAGCCTCTATAATCATGTATGAATAGCCTCTATTTACTGACAGAGTGAGAGAGCGGCAGCAGCAGGGACAAATTGGCTGCAGTCTGTGTTCACTAGCTGGCTGCGAGGTAAGAGGAGAGCAGATACTGTCAGTGGAAGGAACGACTTCATCAACGAGCAATTGGTTTCCGCAAGTGGAGATCTTAATTTACACACCTGCACTTTTAGTCAGATCCAGAGTGAGAGTTCACTTCCTCTCCTGCTGCTCACCTCACTGTTCTGCTCCAATTTGCCTCACCAGCTCAGACATCATCGATCTAATTCTGCCCACATCTAAATATATCCCTCCTTTCACCAGCAGGTCAAAGGGTAGAAAAGGAGGTGTGTCTGCACCTAAAGGGCTGGATATGCGAGACTGATTCACATTCCATCACAGAACTGGGTCAGTTTATGCAAATTCACCAGAAAGGCTCCACCTTTGCTCGCCTCCCAGGGTACACTGCAGGAGAAATAAGGTGGAGCTTAATGAGAAGGGAATTGAAGCAAGTGTGCCACAAAAGATGGACCTGTTCATCTTTTATTTTGAAGTAGGACATTTCTTACGTAAAGCTGATGTTGATGCGTTGTAATTCATCAAGCATCATGTAAGAGAGTGGAGGAAATCACGAGGAAGTATCACTCACTGAGAGATGGCTATCCTCACCTCAGTGTGGGTAGACCAACCGACGCGCCGCCATCCCAAAACTTTACCCCCCCCCCCCACCTCCCTCCACTTATTCTCACTTCAGTGTGATGTAGGTGTGTGTGTGCGCCCGCCATGCCTGCCAAGCCTCTGCAATCCAATGGCGCATCAGGCGTTCAGCCGTCCTCAACCACGCTTTCCCACACTCCATCTCCTCGTTAGTGTGCGATAAATCTGTCAGGAAAAAAGAAGTGTCTCCGGGCATTAAAAAAGAAAAGTGCTTGAAAGGAAAAAGGAGAGGATTCACATGACAGACTGCAGGGAGGAGGATGGATGGAGATTGGGCAAAGAGCCCCACTGCTCAGCTCTGCTTTACCGAGATGCTTCCAGCTTATTAGCATAGCTGATTATTTAACCGGCCTGTTCATTTTGGTGACACAGCGGCTGCTCTACATAGACAACAGGAGAATTAGTTTATCAGGAGATGGGTTTAGAAGAAGAACCTAGCTTGCAAAATTCTTGAAATGCAAGTCATGAAATCCTCCAAGCTCCATGATTTCCATGTATGAGAGTATAACCTCTATGGTTTGACCTCAAAATAAAGTATTCAGAGCCCGTAGAAACTATATTGACACAGATAAATGATTTTCAATCTCTGATGGTTTGATTGTCCTCAGCAGCTTTGTAAACACCATAAAAACACGCCCTAAACTTAACTGTTTTTTTCTTTTTATTACTATAACCATCCAATATTACAACACCATCTGCAAGCAGTAAATACGTGGACAGCCGGCCCTTCGTTTTTACTCCTGTACCTGTGAGAAAAGAGAGAGCACACACTCACAAATAAAGAGAGGTGAATGAGTATGTCCAAACCAGATCAGGTTTTTGTGTGACCCTAGTCCTGCCTTTGTTTTAATAGAAACTTCATGCAACAAACTAGTCCTAACGTTAGAGCACCTGAACCTGCTGGGTAAGAGGCAGGAGGGTGGCGGTCCCCCGTCTCTCTAATGTTTTTAACTGCTGCAGGCAGCTCTTGAGGTTTTTAAACACTCTGGGCTAATTGATGCTGATTGTTAATTAGTGACTTCAGCTGTGCAGAGCTCGAGAAAATGAAGGGATAAAAAAAGGACGGGAAACAGGCAGCCGTGACAACTGCAGGTAAACGCTGTCATGTTTGCACGTCACTCCTGTCAAGGTGTGATTCGCGAAGGTGTTTAACCTTAATACAGCTTACATAAGAGGTTTTAATAGATACTAGTGTTAGTGCACAATGAACGTTATTTCCTGTGAACAGCCTGAGCTTCGACTGTGACATGTCCCCCTATTCAGAATCGCATCTTATCAGCATAAAAGGAACAGTACACCCCACACACACCTGGAGGTGATGCAGGTGCATCTAACTGGGAGGAAGCCCAGAGCTTGCTGGAGGGATGATAAACCCCATCCAGCCAAGGAACGCCCCAGGACACCACCAAAGGAGCTGGAACATGTTGCTGAGGGGGGAAGGATGTCTGAGTCGACCTGGTTAGACTGCTGCCGCCATGACCTGATCCAAACAATTGGAAGGAAAGGAAGCAGCGAAACAGGCCTCTGACGGCATATCATAGCCGATGTCATCCCCCTCCTCTAAAGTATTAATTACTGATAATAAAGTAGTTGAAGTTGGTGATATAAAGTACAACTTTATATCAATTTTCCACATCAAAGTACACAAGAAATATTGGATTATGGCATTATGCTTCATCCAGTGTGCCTTCTAGTGGCCAATGGCTGCGTTACAGCTTGGACGCAACATTTATATGCATTCAATTTTTGCATTTCACCTTTGCAAAATCCCAAATTAGATTTCATGCTTGGTGACGTCCATGACGTATGTTAAGTAATATGTGGTTTTGATGCCTGTGTAGCTCTCTCTAGTATCATCTGTTAGCCCATCCTGTCGGCTACCCATGGTAGTTAAAGATGGGGTAGGCAGGAATCCGTTAAAGGAGCATCTTTTTTGTGGTGTATATATAAAAAAGCTTTTAATATCAGTCAGTAGCTGTTAGTCATTGATGACATTTGATAATGTAACGATATCGCTGTTTTGTTATGTCTGTGTAGTCAACATTTTAAAATTTCAGAGCGTTCCGCTCTTTCTGACTGTAAACAAAACCCTTCCCCGCCTCCCTCTTATTGGTTGTGAGGTGGATGCTGCTTCTTAGTGCTGATTGGTTGTGAGGCAGATGCTTCTCCCCCGTGTCGTTCACGAGCCCAAACAAAGTTAGCAAGCTACAATATCAGAGAGTAGAAACCAACCAGAAAGTACGGAAAATTTTCTGAATCCTCCTTTGGGCACGACTGCCAACACAAGCAAGAAAACAAACTAAATACCGAAGACTGTGGCGGAATAAGGAGGTAGACCACCCAGACAAGAGCTAAGAGGCCGGGTCAACAATGATGGGGGATGCTTCAGGATCTTATAGACCCTGTAACCTTTCTGCTGGAGTGGTGAACTGCTTTAACAAAGTAAGCCAAGTGTCTATAACAGAAGTGTTTCTTGTCAAACGGGACCTGCTGCATGTTGTAGCGCAGCTTAACTGTTTACCTCAGGTTGTGGAGTATGTCACTTTATCCTTGTTGTAGAAGTCCTGCAAACATTGTGTTTGCTGGTAGTCTGTTGGCATCTACAGTAGCACCAGTGCTGTTTGCTTTCACATTGACTGGGCCCCATTTGTAATTATCTGAAGTATTTATTTGCATTATATCTGAATTTAATTGTAACGATACGAGTGAGCAGGAGCGTCTGTTTGTAGGCGGGGCTTGCTGGAGCAGAGAGGGAGGAGAGAGGAGGAGCTGAGGGGAAAACTGGTTAGGAGGGGTAGTGTTTACATTCAAGATTTCTCCCAAAAACTGGCACTTCCTCAGATCCTGCCTACCCCACCTTTAAAGAGGCCTGTACAGTAGTGTTGATAGTTGTTAGGCAAGTTCACCGATACTTGTTCTGAGACCTTCTTCTGCTGGAGACGTTATGTTCTCATCTCTTCAGAACCAGCCTACGTTAATTGTCACTTAACTTACCAGGTGTTTGCACTTCCTATCTGTGCTCATCACATCTGTCTGACAGAACCCTCGTCGCCACAGGCAACTCTTACCATGGAGACCAGCTCTGTGTTGGCAGGGATTGGCTGGTTTTCAGCAAGTTTGTTATCAGCACGTCATCGGGTCTCTTAGGAAAGTGGTGCGATGACCTGTGTGACAGCATCAGGAAAGCCCTCCTGTTGTACCTCAGACATGTGCAAGTGCTGTAGGCAGACTTTAGGTACAGTGACTTGAGGTGGAGCACAAGTTACGATTTAATCAAAGTTTCTACTTGAGCATCATTGAGATAACTACATAGTCAGTCTGGTATCTTCTTGGACCAGAATCTAGAGAGCCTGTCCATACATCCATCCTGAGTTGACTTGATTATTGTAAAAAGCATCTTTAAACATCCATCAAAAGAATCAGTTAGCTGAGTCTTCACTCAGACCAAGTCAGTGGATCACATTACTTTAGCACCAGCACCTTCCTGTGTGTTTGAACTGCTGTGAAGCGATTGGTATATATGATGTCTTGTTTCTGTGTTATTTTTTTTACTTGATGGGCTCCATCTCTCCTCACTTTACAGCTGCTTCTCGCTCTCTCACCTCCACCTTTACTTCTGGGTCAGTCTTCCCTCACCAAATGTCCCACCCACTACACCTCTAACTGTACTTTAAGAGTAACAGATTAACTTTGAACTCCTGTAAAAGTTGCTAACAGCAATAATCAAGTTCAATATCTGCCCCGGAAACCTAATCATAAAGTCCTTTTACCCAATAGTTGTAACAAATGAATGACTATTTTAAATGTATAGCCTGCAGTGTGACTCTGTATCTCCTATTAAACCGCTCTTCTGTTGTATTTCAGCCTGTTTTTGTTTTGACCTTCTCTGCTGTATGTTTCCCTTTTATAAGAGTAATTAAATTCTCTCTTGTACAATGTTTTTTTTTTACCCTTTGATAGCCTGCCTTAATGTTCTGTTTGAACCACCTTAGTGCTGAAATATGCCATGCAGTAAAAGCAGTCTTGCTTTGCAGTAAATATGCTCACAGTCTGTCTAATAGGAGCTAAAGAAAGTAAAAGCTAGCACACCCCACAGTTGGCATATGTTAAGTAAAATCTGTTTGCATGCTGATATTTTCCTGCACCCTCTTGCCAAAGGAGTTGTGTTGCTTTTGAAAGAAATTTAGAGGAATGTGCAGCTGTCTCCTTGTTTTGAGATCTCCTGTGATCCCAGCTGTCTGTACTGCGTGCAGCATTTGCTCCAACATTGAAATTGGCCACAGTCCAGGCAGCAATAACTAATTTTCACACAAACATTGCATGTAACACATGGTGCGGCTCTGACTGTACACTCCCAGCACAGTGACATCGCGCAGTGCTAGTGTGAGGAGCTGGTTACTATGGGAACTAACTATATGCGGGGGCTGTGCTGGTTAGAGTAGACTGATTGATGGGTGTTGTTAGGCCCGGTGTAAAGTAAATCCATCTCAGAGGGGGTCCTTCATTCCTGGGAGTCTCCTTGTGCACCAAAGGTGTGTGATCCCACATTTGCTTTCATGAGAGCAAAGATCAGACGCTCACAAGCTGCAGGATAAACACAGACAGGATTTCACTGTCCGTTGCACTGGTATTAGTTCTCTTAAGCTGATGTGCAAAAGTGTGCACTTGTCTTTGCAAGTCAATGAGGTGGTGTGATGCTGTGAAGTTGTCAGCTTTGCACACATCACTGCACATTTTCTGCACCCAGTCTGAGCTGATTCTACATGTCTTTCCGAGTCGAGCACTTAGCATGTTGATGTAGCTGCAAATGAACCAACACTTGTCCCCAAGGTGCTCGTACAAAGTCTTTTCATGAAGCGCACGGCAGTTAAATAAATTGAGATCGCTGTTCTCCATTTCTTTGCATGCTGTCAGCTTCAGCTCACCGGCAGATTTCATTATTTCCCTTCTCTGCCGTTTCAAAAGGTCACTAACCAGAGCGCAGCGAAGGAATTCACTATAATGCTGATGCAAAAGTTCTCCATCAAATGCAAATAACAGCCTGAAAGAAAGCGCAGGGAACCGATCTCTGAACAGAAAGTTTATCATGAATGATCTGAACAAGATTTCTGCTTTTAATCAGGACCCTGGTGTAAGCTGAGTCGATGTTAACTTGATTTCCGTCCAAGCTTCAACTCAAACAAGCCTCTATTTCTGTGTTAGTTGTTTGTGTGTTCACCGTGCAGCCAGAGGAGTTCATACCCAAAGGAATGCCTGGGGTCTCTCTATAGGCCTGGCCCGGGTGCAGCACATTAGACGGACCATATTTACACCATATTAATTCAGTAAAGGGGCGCAGGTCTGTGGTAAAGTGGTGCAGGAGGCTTGTTTGGTTTGGATGTTTTGATATCTGCTTCATCTGCAGCAGAAAATGTGGATTTGAAGTGCAAAAGGTGTACAGAATCAAAATAAAACCATCGTACAGCCTCAGGGAGCTGACTCCTGACTGAACACAGATTATAAATAACACCTGTGACCTTGACGCTGTAATCTATTGATCTTACAGATTCAGGGTCTTTGCCTCGGCTCATTGTGAAAACATCCATTCCATTAATAAGTCATAGCACCAAAGCTAGAAGCGCGTGCGATTGTTGTCCTTTGAATATAAATTCACACCGTCATTCAGAGCAGGACGGTTCATGGAAACTGTGACGAACTTTTCTTTTCAACCTCTGCCTGTGTGCGTTTGTGTGAACACGTAAAAGCCGCCCCCCCCCCGCTCATGTCCTTCACACAGTGTGTAAGTCGACTCTGAGCAGCAGGACTCCAGTCCGTCCAGATGGTGCTTCCAGGTGGAGCGGCTTGACATTCGTGACGGGACAGCGGTTAAAAGTCTGTCTGAGTCTGACGCAAACAGACATCAACTTTCCTCCACAACCTCTGGGAGGAGAGCGGCCATGTTTGACTGTCGTTTATTTACTGTAGTGATGACACAGGTGTACATAGATATGTTCGTACCTACTGCATCTCCTTTCTTAATATAGAGTAGTATTTTGAATGGCAAAGCTACATCTGTGCAAAGTCAGATTACTCAGTCATATAAGCGAATTGGAAAGGGAGGATGGGAGTAAAAAAATTGAGAAAACTTTTTTAGTCAAGCAGATGGTGCTGAGATTTCTGTCTGTTAAGGTCAGCAGAGGTTGGATTTGTCCAAAGTTGGTTGATACTAATCTAAACTTCCAGAAACTGCACTAAAATGAAAAAATAATAGCTGGTGTAACACTTACATTTAAACTCACCACTCACAATAACTATAAGCACATTTATAAAACCTCATTCATGCATCTGTAGGGCTTTAGCATTTAGCATTTGTTTCAACTTAATGTTATGAATATGAAGCATAATGCCTCATGAAGGTTTTACTTTAATGTTGCTGTTAATCTCATAACAGTGACTTTTAAAGGTGGGTTTTATACCACGCTACACGGGTTTGTTGTGGTGAAGAGGGAGCTGAGCCGAAAGGCAAAGCTCTGGATATACTGGTCGATCTTTCCTCCTACCTCACCTATGGTCATGAGCTGAGGGCAGAGACGGAAAGAATGAGATTGTAGGTTCAAGCCCCCTATCTCTAAGAGAGATAGGGTGAGAAGTTGGTCATGCTGGAGGGCCTTAGAGTAAAACGGCTGCCCCTCTGTGTCAAGAGGAGTCAGATGAGGTGGCCTGGGCATCTAATTAGTATGCCTCCTTGAGGCTGGTTTGTTAAGTGTTTAGGGCACGTCCAACCGATAGGACACCACGGGAAAGACCCAGGGCACACTGGAGAGACTCTCCAGCACCCCTTGAGAATGCTCTGTGGGCCCCTGGGAAGAGCTGGACAAAGTGGCCAGGGAAGTCTGGGCTTCCCTGCCTAGGCTGATGCCCCTAAAACCTGACTTCAAATAAGTGGTAGGGGACGGATGGATGGATGGATGTTTTATTTCACATTATAACTCCCACAACTTTGTTGACTTATGAAGGTTAATAGAGATCTGATTGCTCTGCTGTAATGCTGTAACGCTTTACTACCTGGATTTAAGCAGGTGACGTCTTGTAGTGCAGTGTGGTTTATCAGTACTTGCTGGTTAAACTAATACATTAACAGTCAACCAGAGCAAAGTGTTACCAGCACTGGCATGTGGATGTTGACCTGCTAGCTCAGTATTTGTTCGCCACACTCAGCACACCAGATTGTTTTAGGCTCAGTGATCCCTTGTGCAGCTTCGTTGAGGGACGAAATATCCCCTGTGTGTTGCTCCAAAGTAGTTTTGGTGGATCTATAAAGGTGATATTTGAGGGTATAAAACTATTGAAGACATAAATAAAAACAGAGTCTGTCTGCTTTGAAACCCAAAAAGAGAAAGAAAATTGATTTGAGTGACTGATGCAAGCGTTTGCAATGGCCTTCAAAGAAGGAGTCAACGTTCAGATGGTTCACAGCGTTATTAGTTCTCATCGAACGCTCCTGTCTACCTTTTCTAACTCCATTAGTCACAGACTCCAGATGCAGTGTCTACAAATGGAGAAATTAGACTTGAATCTGTGTTTCTGTATCACAAAGAGGGGAGAGAGTGCTGAATAAATAAAACTGAGAGGGTTGCTCGGCATTTCCTCATCTCACTCTGATTTCTCTACACAACAAGACGACAGGACTGGTCAACAGCGCTGCCAGAAATGGTGGAGGAATAAGTTTAGTAATCCAAGCCCACCAGAGCTGAGAGGAAGGATGTTTGTAGTACTCACTGATTGTCTCTTGTGTCCTCACAGCGGAGCCCCTCCCCCTCATGGAGCTGTGCAGACGAGTAGCTCGGCTGGCTCTGGGAAGAGAGCGCATCCATCACATCGACATACTCCCGCTGCCGCAGACTTTAAAGAACTACCTCCAGTACCAGTGACCCCACACTCATGAAAAAAAAAACACAGAGAAAGAGAGAGGGGAGTGATCTGCAGTGCACGTGGTCTTCATGTGAGCATCCTCCAAACTGAGACCCAGCTTCTGTGGAGGAGGGAAGACTGTGCTGCAGGGGGTTTGTTTACAACATGTGGGGGGTTTCCATTTGGGTGTTTTTATCCTCTGATTTTCTCTTATTGTTGTTTTTGTTGTTGTTTTTTTGTTGCTGACTGCTGTCTTTCTCCTGGACGGTCAGGTAGAGGAGCGGATGATTCAGGCGAAAGGATTGAAAGATTAAAAAAAGAAAATTACTGTCCGGTTTCCTGCTCATCAGGTGGATTAAGTCGAGTCCATGTCCTCAGTTTGTAAGGCCTTAGACGCCGTGGTTATTTTGGCGATGGCTTTTGCAAAGTCTGCCTTCTGGCAAACATATTGGTGTTTATATTTAGATTCCCAACAGCACAGCAGGCTCTGTGGAGATGCAACAATCCCTCCGAGCTATAAGAGATAGAGAGGAGGTAGCACAGTAGAGGGGAAAGTCCACACGCAGGTCTATTTCTGTGTATCCACAGTGCAGCACACACGGATTACATTTATACAGCGTGTGTGTGTGCGTGTTTTATCAGGAGTGTCAAGAAACAAAGCCTTAAGTGTGTGAAGTCAAAACACAGCTCGCCGACAAGCTGGCAGTTCCTCCTACAGGCTAAGAAACGCAGCAGACTCCGGTCTGATCTGAACTCTGTCTTTGTCGGATTCGAGCCTCTGTCACATTCTCCTCCAGCTCCTGTAACCGTGAAAGCGATAACCGTGTACCCCTCGGTAAAGCCGTGTCTTTGACTGCTAATGTGCCTGCTCCATGGGGAAAAAAAAGCACACGGCACTTCTGACATCTCAGAAGACCCTGACCCCCCCACAGACCTCCCGACCTGAAAGTCTGAAATGCTGCTTTTCTGTCTTTTACTTCACCGTCTTACCTTTATGTGGGTTTTTTTTTCTTCTGAGTTTCTTTTAAAGATGATGAGATTTTTTTAATGTTCTTTTTTTTGTCCCCCCCTCTGGATTTTGAGATTTGTCTGTGGGACTGGATGCCTCGCAGATGTAGGTGGACGCCATGAGTCTTTTAAATGTGAATAAGAATAAACTCAGTTGAACTCAAACTGTTTTCTGTTCTCCTTTTTTTTTAGCTTCATAAATGACAGAACTGTGTATGTTTGAATCCACATTACACCAAATTGTCCTAAGGGCTGGGCGATCAACTGAAAATTTACAGATACCAAATTTTACAACAATAACCAACATCATTTTGCCTATGTCGGTATAAAAATAAATAAATAAAAATTAGTTTTGGATGTGTGTAGGTAGACTATGGCCTCATGTCCTTTTAAGAGGCTGTCCTTCATCAGAGACGTGATTCCAGTGCATCCAGTGCGCAACAAAGAGGGAAAAACAGGTGAGGAGATGGAGGACGGTTCAAAAGTTGTAGTGGCTGGAGCGACGGCTGAAGTAGACAAAGTTCATGTGGGAGGGGGTGAGCAGCTTGTGGAGAAGTTATCGTCCATTTAACGTTATTGAGGTGAACTGCTCAATATATCGTGATAATGATTTGTGGCCATATCGCCCAGCCCTACTGTCCCCCATTAAGCTGCAGATTTCTCCACATGTTGAGGACTTAATTTTGTAGCTGAAGCACGTGAAAAAAGGAAAAAAAAAAACTAATCACGTTGCATGCAGAGTAAATTAGCCTTTGTATCAGGAGATATTGAATCAGGGCTCCTGCATGTCTGTAAAAGCCCACTCACAGTCCATTATTAGGTAAAAGGGTAAAGTTTAAAGCCTCTGAACTCTGCAGTATTAATCAAACCTCTGTTTTTGAAGTATGTGAGAACAGGTGACATGAAGAAAAACACTTTTTATTGCAGTACTCTGCCAAAATAACTCTGCTAACCAGCTTTAACCTGCAATAATCCTGCACAAACAATTTTGGTCTTTGAAAAGTACATGTGGGTTTTATTCTGAAGATTATGAAAGCAGCTTTGTCTGGAGATTTCAAGAGCTTTTTTGAAAAGTTTTTAACCTGTCAAGAGTTTGAGTGTTCACTTTATTCTGTCAGGAAGATATGGTTTATATGCAGCATTATTTTAATATGAAAGTATAAAAACAGCTCAACTCCTTCAAATGTTAGTGGAAAAAAAAAGAGTTTGAGGTGCGACTCAATCTCTCGGTCATGTTCACAGCCTGAGAGTCTCGAGTCTATTCCTGTCACTTCTGGGTAAATTCAGGGACCAATTTTTCACACTAAGCTCTGAAAACCCTGAACTGTGGCTGCTGTGCACTCATCATATCTGATGCAAACATGCAGGGCAAAAAATAGAAAACCTGACAGGACATGGTAAAAGTCATTCAAGGATGACCATCAGATGTCTCCTGTCTCATCTCAGTGGGTAAAAACATCTTTATGAACATGTTTCATCACTGATAATGTCCAGCAAACCAAACTTCAGAGGTCTGTCAGGATAGCAAAAACCGGCAGCCAGATGCTGGTTGTGGTGCAGAGTCCTGTTGATCTGGCTCTAAACCACGTCCCTCATCCATGAGCCAGCTTTGAGCACAACAAAGCTTGTTGTGTGATCAAAGTTCAGCTCTGCTCAGCTTTCCCTGGCACTACCAACAGAAAATCCATTAATATTGTGCAACAGAGAGCAGCCTGAGCTGATAATATCATAATCGCAGTGAGGGGCATGTCTCCCTCTGCTTTTATGCAGATGATTGCTGCTACATTGGCATTGATGGACACTAAATGCTTAAATAGTGATCACTAAAGTCTATTGAGCTGACAAGGACAGATAGCTGAACTGTCTTTGAGTACAAAGTGTGAGAGGAGCTTTGGCATCAGAATGAACAGAAACAAAAAGAAGATCCTGAAATGCAAATCACTCCAGAGAGAAGAGCTCTTGACTGAAACGGATCCCTCAGCTGCAGGATTTGTCTGCATCAGCATACAGTGCAGCTCAATAATGCAGGGAAGAGCCCTGTTAAGGATTATTGAACAAGCCTGAAAGTTAAAGCTGATGTCTTGTTTGATCTGGTAAAAAGTGACTTGGCTTTTGCTGGATCCATATTTAGCTTCCTCTTGACAGCAAGGATTCACTTCAATTCATCTCGCTGTCTTTTCGTCCTCCTCCTCTCCACCACGTTCTGCCAACTTTTGATTCATCTCCTTTTTACTCGGCTCTACTTCTGCTATTTAAATCCTCCCATCCCTGGTTTCTTTTCTCAAAAGCATATTTGCTGTTTTAAAGCTGTATCGCCTGCTTTACCTGCCGTGACGAGGAGATAAACAGAGTAGGTTTCAGCTGAGAGAGGAGCTTTTGGTGAAATATCCTCCATCACTCTGCTCTTCCTTCCTTTCTATGCATACGTGTGATACATATGCATGCATGGAGAGTGGCAGAGCGAGCTGACGCAGAGATGGATGGTTAGAGGCCGGTTCTCTGCCATGGAGATAGGCAGCAGAAATGCATAATTTATGGGGGAACAATCTTGCGCTCACACGAGGTTGGCAAGTCATGTCAAAGCTCACAGTTCCTCAATCCTAGTTCCTTCCTTCTGGTCTTATGTGGAGATAACTTCAGAGGCTTCAGAGAGTGAAAGGAGTTTCTTTGACCTACTTTTTTGTGTCACATTAACGGATGAGATTACGCTGCAGATATGCTCAATGTTTGACACCAAGACTCATTCAAGCACAATTTAATACGGCAAAAAATGCACTTCAAGTGGGAATTTTTTGTTTACATTATTGATAGTTTAGTAGTGTTACCATTTGAAATAGTGATGGTAATTATGTCTCCTTTTAGTGAGCCAGATCATTCCCTCACCAAGAAGAGCGGACTCTGTCGGTGCTCAAACGGCTCTTCATTTTACCACTTACACATTTTCTTATACAGCCAAATTTAGCGTCGTTTGGCTTATGATATGTAAGTGTACACATACCTCATAAATAATTCAATACATCCTTTGTACTGAAGTATTCACAAGTCAAAATTCAATTTTCTAATATCAGTAAATTGCTGTAGCCAGTCGTTTTCATTGCATTTACAGACCCGTGTAACTCTCTGAAACCACTCAATGAATGAGCTGACTTGTTTGTTGAACCACTCTGCTACATGAAGCAGATAGAAACATCTTTAAAAACTTAAACATAGAAATGAAAAAGGACAGCTATTGGAATTTTAATTATTTATTGAAACACAAATAATCAAATAAATAACAATACAGAAAATAGCTGTATTGCAATAAACAAAACAGGAGCTTTTAATAGTTTTAGGTGTCTATTTGAACTGACCACTATCAAGAACAAAAACCACAGCAGCAAAGTAAATCAAATACAGAAAGAGAGAAAAAACAAAACACAAACAAACAAACAAACAAAAGAAAAGAAAAGAAAAGATCTCAAAGACAGAAGAAAAATATCGGTTCAAAGAGCCGGCTCTTTGAACTGATTTCTTTCACGACTGACACATCACTACTTTGAAAAGTCTTGTAGTTTCTTGCATATGTAATAGAATACATACAGATGCTGTATTCACCCTTGTGCTACTATGCTGATGTATAAAACATGGTCATAGTCCTTTAGATGTCACCCTGCGGAGGCATTTTAAAGTCCAAACATCCGGCTGGTCTAGAAACCTGTGCAGAAGACGGAGTTCACATGGTGAGACGGCTGTGACTTAATGGTAGAGTTTATAATCTCTCAGAGAGAAGGTGAGGGTTTAATCCCGGAGAGCACTTAATAGAGTCTAAAAGAGTCTAAAAGTCACAGTCAAGCAGAGGTCACAGGTGAACAGTCTAAACCACCCCACTTATGGGAGCAGCAAAAACCTGTGAGAGAACTACATTCGAAGAGACATCGACAAGAAAATCTACCCATTCCAGGAGAGGCTCAGAAATTTAAGGTGGTAAAAAGTTAGGACCAAGAGTTAGATTATCACACAGCCAGGCCAAAGTCTCAGCCCTGAAGGAGAGGTGTGTAACAGCAGCAGTGGTGGCACACTTTAAAGTCTGCTGTCACTCCCTGAAAACCTCCCCAAATCTCTGTTCTCCTGACACGGTGCTGATAACTGGAGGAAAAGTGATATGGGAAAGTACTAAAGTCCCAGAAAGTAGAAAGAGAGAGAGAGAGAGATTGGAGGGAGATGAGTGATCTATAATGCTGCTTAGAGGAAAACAGTGGAAAAGGAGGCATGAGAGGGTGTTGGTGGCGGAAAGGAGGGCTGTTTTCAGCTACTTCTTAAAGCGCTCTTTACTTCTGGATGGATGGATGGAGGAAAAACTATTGTTTGGTTCCATCTCCATGGTAACACCATTGCTGCCATTTTTCTTCTTCTGTTGAGCTGCACCTTTGAGTTTCTATCCACAGGTTGTATGTGTCTTCTCTTTCATCCATCCAAAGTTGACTTTTTGAGTAAAATGTTGGTGTTTTTAAGGATATAACTTGAAATTGTTCAGTGGAAGAAAGCTTCAGGGATTAAAGAATAAAACGTTGAGAGCATTTTTATCCAGGGTGAAAGCTCTTCTTTGGGGTGTTTTTATGTTCAGTAAACAGCAGCATAATGAGCACAGACATGGTCTGAACCCTGACTTCTAATTTCAGCTGCTGGTTTGGAGCGTTACCTTGCTGCTTTTAGAGTCTATGTGAAGATATGCATGAGTCACTCTTATCTCTCTGTCACACACACATGCTCGCAGTAGGGGGAACTCAGTGTGAGGCCAAATAATAGCAGTATGGTGCCTTTTCTTATCCATCATCCATCTTTTTTTTTCCTGACTCCCTTGCCTGTGCCATCAGTCTCCCTCTGAACATCTTTAACTTTCTCCTCGCTGATGAAAAAGTGGAGACTTTTACCTCAGGAGCGTCTCTTTTTCCTCCCTCTGTTATTGAAAGGTGAATGTGACAGTAAAACAACCTGGTATCCAGTCCCCATCCAGGGCGCTTGCTAATGTTTTTGCAGGATTTCACTCTGACCTCCTGCCTGCTATCTCAACCTTTTTCAAATGTCACCCTGCTGCCTGTTAGGCAAAAACAAACCACATTAAAGCAGAGGTGCATCTAAAATGAGTGAAAACATAACCCCAGGGGCACACACACACACACACACACACA